ACACTAGCGTCACAGCAAATGATTAGTTAGACTGTTCACAGCAATTCATTAATAAATTCATGTTAAAAAATTAGTCATTTAGCTAGCTAGTGGCTAAGTGTTTAGATGTATATTGTTCATTTGCTTGGTTATGTCTGTTTGAAACATGATAAAACTCACATGTCTCTATTGTCACAGGCAGAACTGTTTTCTATAATTAGTCATATAGTCATAATTAAAATGTAAACATCTTTTATACATTTTTAAATATTGATTTAGTTAATTCAGTCTCACTGGTAAAGATACCGCTATAGACATAACTGAATAGTAAAAGATTTCATTTTTTTCAGTCTCCTTGTGTTGGGTTCATTTTCTGTATTCTACAAAGAGAGCTGAAGTTAAATGACAAACGCAGATGGACATTTTTTCCAAACCATCAAAACAGGCCTGGTGAAGAGCAGCACACAAGAATGGGGTGATGTCAGAAGCAGGCCAGCCAACCTGAGGTCTTCAATGCACCAAATGAACGTATATGAGAGAAGACAGCAGCGGACAGTCATATACAGCTTCATATATGACAGTACCAACAAGGTCTTTGAGTTCCTCATATTCTGAAAGTCTGGGAATGTCTGCCTCGAAAAATCAGCTTGAGAGTGGAAATACGGAGAGAAATCCAAGACTTTTTCATAATGGGAAACATCTGACATAGAATAGTGTCTCACACTAAAGTAAAGGAGTTCAGATATTCATTCTGTTTTTCATGGGGGATTCTTCAGGATTCTTTGACTTTCTTCCACAATTCTGTCTTACCTTCCGTCTTCCTAAGCAAACGGCAGAAGTGCAGTTCAAGCCAACTTATGAACTGTATTTTGTCCCGCAGTGCATCTGCATGTGAGTGACCACCGACTCGACCTTGGCTACCCGGGTCAGCCTTAGACAAGTCATCCATGGTCATTCTAACCATTTCCTTGAAACATTTAGATTTTGCTCTTAGTTACAAGATATCAAAGAAGATGACATTGTACTTTACAGACAAATGAAATGAAGTTGGTGAATTTAATTAAACCACAACAAGCAGCAAACTACAGTTTTAACCAGTTTTGTTACCATACGTTGGTACTATAATCTGATTGTAGCTGGATCTTCCAGAATTGAAACTGGAATCCAGCAGTGTTAATGACAGAATATTCTACTTAATAAACTTTAAGTTCTGGGTTCTAAAACTGTCATTTTAACATTCAAATGACATAATTTAAAATATACTTCACTTTCACATGCTCTGCTACTTCAAAGACCTGTTTGTTTTAACGGGGAAGGGGTGGGGGGGTTATTTACACAAGCACTAATGAGTTTGGGTTCATGTCAAATAAGGCCCCTCATCATTTCCACTATGCATGCTCTTTTCTTCTGCGGAAGTTTCATAAATGGGAAGATCAAGGAGCAACTGCAGTAGGTGTATTGGACATTTTAGCTTTATAATCCTGGGTCTTGGTCTTCTTTGATGAGAAGCCAAAACGCAGCATGGGGTTGGTATAAACGAGCAAAGAGATGGTGTTTCCTAGGGATCCACTAAAGTCTAGCTTTAAAACACTACCCCCCCCCCCCACAAGGCTGCAGAAAACAGCAATGAACATGTTGTCTGTGCCACCAGAGTCATATAATTGCAAACTGCTCTTTTGAGAGTAATATGCCAGACACTAAATAAATGACCACTTAATGAAGACCCTGCTCACTGCAAAATTATTATCTTTAGCATGAGGAGACAAGTCACAGACAAACAGCCCTTATCATCTAGTAGCCAAAGTAACTTGAGATGCACTGCGACCAGTGGAAGGGTTGCCTTGGGTGGTTTGGGAATGGCGAACATTTGAACAATAATCTGTAATCAACTGATAAGAAGACAAAATGTAATATTTCTACCCGACTTTCTGCAGAAGACCTAAAAAGTGCGGTTCCTCTGCTTTCAGTGTCACACACCGGCCCACAGCCGAGTGCCGTCACGGAAAGACAGTTGGTGGTAAACGTAACCCAGATTGGATGATGAAACTTAAACTGCAGAACCATAATCTGTCACATCAACATGCACCCTCCTCTGAGATCCCACTGCACAAAATACTTACATACACCAGTTCACCTAACTGCACTGCATGTCTGTGAGCTATGACTGAAACTGGAATACCTGGAGGAACCCTATAAATGTATTGTTAACCTATAAATAAAATATAGACAAATTGTACATAGACATAAAACCTGACTTATATAAAGCATTTAATTTAAACATATATTAAAAGTCCATGCAGTTATGGACATGTTCATTATCACTGCAAATAAACTTTATGGTGTAGCCACTGAAAAAATAATTCAACTTTTACTTAATATGTCTGCACTTATGGAAAAACACATCTCCCAAAGATGACAAAGCTTTGATAAAATGTCAACAAAGGTCTTATACAATGCATTTGTTCATTGCATGATTAAATCACATGTCACATTGCATAGACCATAAAATGAAAATGGCGGAGAGGCAGTCTGTGCCGTAATGGATCCGGGAGGTCATTTACACATAGGTAATTTAGATCATTTAAACTTGTGGGCTCGAAATAATACAATGAGAGATCAAACAAGTCCAGAACACAGTTTGCATGGTCACATGTTTTCATAAATGCCCCCATTTAAGCCTTTCTAGGTAATAGGCAACACAGGGTGGTAAAAGGATCAACCAGCAAGGAAGCCTGTTTTCAGTTTATGGTCAGTCAGGCTTAGGGGAGAGGAGGCTTAAAGTGCAGAGTCTGCACAGGAGCCTATCAGCTACCTGTTGGGAACCCCCAGGGGATTTCCCCGTAAAATACCATCAAAGACAAACAAATGCCTGACTCACAAATAAATTTCATGTTAAATCAGCAGTGTTGCCCCTCAGCTGCCTGCATGGCACCTAGGCTGGAAAGTCACGGGATCTGCTACTCTGAGTTTCAACACTACACTAGAGCTACACTGACAGAGTTGCATTGTCAGCTTGCAAGGGAAACACTTTTAATGAGCAGAGCTGGCAAAAGAATGATGTCAACACTGGCCATCCATTCACACAGATTTAGCCACGCAGAAATTATGATTCATATTACTACATAGGAGCAAATAAAATACCTAAAACATAATAATCTTTAGAGTGATTAAGTCCAAGAAGAGGACAAAAATTGTCAGATTGTCAGGAGAATGAGAAATAAAGAAATATTTTGTTTTTTTAGCATTCTACACCTCAGTAATGAAAGCACAGTAATGGATTTTTTTCCATGAATAAATAGTGATCTGCTTCTCACTGCAGAGATGACATTGTTCCCATAATCAGAAAGACCAAAATGGATCAAAATATGCCCAAGGATCATGCAACATGGAAAACCAAAATCACTGATTTGTGCAACGCGTAACTAGCTGATCTGCCCAGTTTTAACAAACAGTTTTTAAGGTAGGCAGCATTGAACAGAACCAGCAGACAAATCCATCGCACAGCAACAAACAGCAATTCATCAGAATCGACCCTTGACATGCAGCAAATATCAAACACAAGGGGCAGAAGCAGCCTTACACAGACAGTTATTGGGGCCCTAATCAAACTCGAAACTCTCGTTGCGCAGAGCAAGAAAACTACCAACCATTCCGGAGGCCTTGCTCACAGAAAAAAGCAACCTCATTTAAACATTATGATATGAAACAAAATCCCAGCTATGAGGGAAACAAACCCTGCACTCTGGAGAGCAGCCCTCTGAAGACTTCAGCACAACAGAGCACATTTTATAAACACATTTCCAGAGATTTAAATGCTTATGCTACAAATAAAGTGTTCCTTGAATGTTCCACTACCGTTGCATAAACAAGTTTCCATCACATTTCTCGTTGAACAAAAAGTTTCGGTCCTATAGAAGAATTACTGCACAACCAGAGCTGTGTATGTGAAGTTTGGAATATGTGTTCTATTGTTACCTATTCTGCTTTATCATACTACCCAAGCACAAGCCGTACAATTGTACAATAGCAGCAGTGCATAAAACAAGTGGGTATGGATGGAAGGATGGATGCATGGATGGATACTTGGATGGATGCATGGATGAATGGATGGATCGATGATGATTATTATAATTATTAGCATGATATTATAGTATGTTCCTCAAAAGTTCATTGTAGGGGAGATACGGTCCAGGTTTCGGATGGGTGTCCAAACTTGCAGATGTGCCATGGATCTGCAAACCTACAGTATCAGGGCTCCGCTCTCATCTTGCAGCACCAGCCCCGTGAAACCTGGGTGGATCATTCCAACAGACACAGACGCACCAGCAGAGAGACACACAAACCAGCGGCTCCTCTTCCATCCCCTGAGATAAAGGGTATTTTTTTTCACCCCCGCTGTACACTATTGTCTTTCTGGCCCCCCAGAGGGGAGGAATGCTTCAAACAAACACACGCAAAGGACACAACAGTGTGGGTCAGTCCTCAGTTCAACAGCAGCAGGACGGAACGCTGGCAGCACATTTGATGAAAGATTATTCTTTGCAAAGAGATTTCACCACTGTACCAAAAAAGATGAATAATTCGTATTGGAAAAAACGTTTTTTTTGTACCCTGCAAGGGCATCTCAGCACAGCCGCGCAGCTGCGAAGAGAAAACTCTTTCAGGATTAAAACAGTTTGCATGTTTTTGATACTTTTAATTTACAAATGATGTTCTCGCAGTATGTCTGAAGTCACTATTGACTGTCACAGCCATACAAAATTCCAGAAAGTTCCCAGGAGTCTTACATTCTGAAAAAGAAAGTATTAAAACAACTTTTGAAGTATTATGAACAGTAAAAAAGCTTAATAAAACCCATTTTCACTCCAGAATTACATGAAAAGTCAGTGGCATCAAAATAAAGGGGACAATTAATTTTTTACTCAGAGAAAAGCTGAAAGTATTGTGTACGATTACATAATAGTTCTTTTAAAGGAAGTCCAAACAGTCATTTTCCTTACTATTAACTCAGTTTTGTCTGTCTTATTATTATTTTGTCTGTGTCTCCCATCCATTTGCTTTTCAGCTCATAACAGCATAAAAATTGCCAGCCCTGGAAATCATTACATAAGTGTTCAAAATAAATGGGGTTAAACAGAATAAATGTGCTATAATTTTCTGCAAAATTTTAAGTTCCCACTTTAGCTGCTTGATTCCAGCAGTTGGTGAACTTTAAACTGCAGGTATGAAGTCACAAAACGAGCACAGCCCATGTGACTTTTCAGCAAGGACAGCCCTGCCAATCAGGAGACGCCTTTTTTCACGGTTACTGTATGTGTCCCTGGGACCTACTGCATCCATGTCCGTCAGGAGCCAGTGGTGGGGTGACGGCAGAATCCCTTGGCAGGAAGGTGCCTCGGCAGGCCGGTCCAGACGGCCCCGGAATGTTCCAGTCTCACGGGAATGAAGGGTGACCCCGGAGAGGAAATGCCACTGAAGAATAAACATACACATATAACAGTATATAGAAGTAGAGTGAAACACTGCAGAGAAGCGATAAATAGGTCCAGATCTTAAAAAAAAAAAAATACATTAAATTATAGGGGATCTCTTGAGATGAGGTAGGGGAGGAGGGGGGAGGAGCAGGGGGGGTGTGGCTGGGGGTTGCAGATTGTAAACTCATTTTGATGGCCAGGAAGGGGGGAGGCAGTAGGGAATTGTGGCTTTTAAACTGAGAAGTCAGGCATTTGTACCGTGATCCCTTCACTCTCTCTAGGCAGCTGAAGACACTCCTACTTCTGCACTGTTGTGCGGCAAAAGCACTTCTGTGTGACGACAATTCAGAGTATTAAGGACGGACTTCTGAGCAGGAGTCTACGGCACATTCCTTGACAACAAAACAAAGGATTTCGGTGTATATAGATGCCTGCATTGTTGATATTGAATGGCACAGAAGTTTATCCAAGCGGATACCATGTACCATAGAATACATTTTGCCCTGTGTTCATAAATTCAAATAATTTCATAAAAATTAGTTGCATTGCCAAGATAATTTGCGAATGACAGGCATCAATCTGGATAATAAGGGACGTTAAGGAAAATCACATAAATCAAGACAAGCCACTTAAAATCTCAGCCGTCACTTTTAGATTATTAATGACTGCTGGAATAGATCTGGTAGTTCAGCCAGCCAAATACCTTAAGTATACTGCTATAAATCCAGTGCTATTCTAGTATTTGATAATTATCTGGAACGTACAGGTTACTTTCAAAGCAGGGTTCCAGGTTTCTTTTCTAAACTGAGAAAACACTAAACTGATTTACTTTCTATAATGATGTGTTAAGCTGAGTGAATAAACACTCCGGCAGACAGAAAAACGCACGTGGCAGCCGACCAGACCCGAGTTAAACCCGCATCAGTAGCAGACCTAATATCTTCATGCTGTTGCGCCAAAGTGATTGACTTTGATCGTACAATAAATAGCAACAACTTATTAGCACAACCACATCTGTGTCTTTACTTAATTTGTTGCTATTTTTTCTTTTGTACCTAAGAACTATTATTCCTTACGGTTTGGAATTGATCAGAAAAATATTCATTAGGGTTTGGAATTGATCAGAAAAAAATGCAGAAAAATCTGGGGAAAAAAAATAATTTGTGTTTGAAACTGCATATGATGTCATGAAAAATATTTTTATTGCGAATCTGTGACCCAGACAATTAGTACTAGAAATACAGGAAGTGACTATACTCCAAGTATTAGTATTAACTTCCTGCTGGATATAGTTAACTAGCGCTGACATTATTCCTTAACCTGTCTAGCTGTTGCCTTTGTTTATTGTTCTTTTTACTCTGCTTTTCCCTCCTCCAATCTGCCCACAAGCCCGAAATCGTAATTCAAGACAGAGAAGAGTATTTCGGAGGGGGAGTAACTGAGAAAAAGCAGGCACCTCATTGGCTGACTGGGGATGCCCCATTTTCAGATTAACTTTTCTCCCCTGGCCAGTTATTTGTACCTCACGTTCACGGCTATGACTAGTGATCTAATCCAGGAATTTATCTTTACAGTTAGCAGTGCATTTCTAATTGCACTTATTGGTACAATAATATTCACAAATGACTGAATCTCTATTTGCCTTTTTGAGCATATAAGATACTCGAGAGACTATGGAATGTTGCTTTTCATATTCCCATATTCAAATTGAATGTCTTTTTTTTTTAGTTTGTACCCGCATGTTTTTTCTGTCCCATCTCCCTCAGCAGTCAGATATATTATTTTCTATACGATTCATAAAGCATGATATCAAGGTTCCAGCTAACACGTAGTTGCTGTAGTTTGCCATGTGCCGCTACTGTATAATCAGTATGTGCACGACACTGCTGAGGCAGTCTGAGGGATGCTCCTGACCTCAAGCCTCCATGTCTGCGGTATCCGAGGGTGAAGGACGGAGTAAAGGGGAACACCCAGGAGCAACAAAGAAACGGAAAAAAAATCGCAGCTTCTGTGGAGAGAGAGAGACCCCTCCCACTTCACTGGCTCCGTCTCCCCGGCAAGATCCTGCTTGCTTCGATTCCCCTCCTCACATTCTTCTTTTTAAACCATTAGACGTCTCGGGGCCCACAAAATCCTCACATGTGTTGCCTTGGGATCTCTATCAACACATTCCAGGCAATAGTTTTAGGAAAGAAAATTTACGTTAAAGAAAGAGAAGAGAAATTAAAAAAATGCATTTCAGGAAGAGGGGTGTGGTCACAGAGGTATTCGGTAGATCTGGAACTCATTAGCCATTAATTTGATGTCTGATTGCAACCAAATCCACTCAGCCTCCTTGTTTATGTCCTTGGCTGAACTACAGCATCCCAAAGAAGAGCCTGAATTGCCTTCAACTCTTCCTCAGCTAAGCACAAAGACAGACACACGTAGTTCAGAGATAATCTCCGTCTCTTTCAAAGGAAGCTGTCTCCTTCAGTGAAACTCATGCATAGGAAATTTCAAAAGACTCAAAACCTCCCTTATAAGACCCCCCCCTACAAACTGTAGTGGAGCCCAATTGCTTAAGGCAGCACAATAGTAAACATATTGCTTTGGGTTTGATACCTTAATTTTATTTTGAGGATTAATAACATTTATTTATGTGTTTATCTATCTACCTAAATACTTTCTTAAGTAATTTTACTAGGATATTTCTATATTAACATGGTACCACATAAAAGTAACCTTGTTGGCGGGTGGGTTATCCTTGAATACTCCTGGAAAAAAAAAAATACTGTCTAAATAACTGAACTTACTATGTCTGGTGTCTGTTTGTGTGTTTATGGCCTCATTTCTCCTCGTATTTGGTATTTCATCTGCATGCTCGTTACCAGCGGGTCACCTGGGCCAGACGAAGCTGCCAAATAAATAAAAGGGGAAATGGAAGTAGAAACAAACAAAGACTGTGAACTGAGCACATAAACTCGAAGGGGAGTCGGCGTGGATGCAGGACGCGAGGAGGGAAAGTATTGCCACGTGTTCTGGGTTATGGGAACCAGCCCCTGCCTTGGGCCAATCTCAACAGACTGGGGGCAGAAAAAAATCTCAGCATGGCCTACTGCTTTGTCCCTATCGTCTTTGTTAAAAGAAATATAGCCATATATAACACATAATTGATTTCTCAGAGATCGCATAATATCTGATAAGGAACTTGAACAGAATTGGGGGGGGGGTTAGAACTGGCTGAATCAAGAGAATACTCCCATAAAACCTAACAAAAATACAAACCAAGGTGGGTAGCTCAGGTCCAGGGAGTGAAAGTTCACACCAAGATTTTGTTTCAACCAACCAGTTCAGTACTCTGTGACTGAGACTGCGTATACTCAACTGGTCGGTTGAAACAAAACCTTGGTCTGGATTTTTACTCTCTGGACCTGAATGGAAAAGCAAAAAGGGATTCTGATAAGTTGTCAATTTAAAGTCATATGCAGCATTTCTCCTATGCAAAGAGTGAAATCGACCAGTGCTTAAGTATAGGACGTGAGGAGAGTTTCACTGGAGATCAGGGCATTATGGCTTTGGTTTCTGTGTCCACAAGGGGAGTTCAATCGCATGAAAAAGCACGTGAAATTCAAACAATAGACTAAGGCACTAGAATAGTAGAACCTTCACACGCAGTTTCACCATTAAGACAGATAAGATCTACTGCTCCGTCACACCTCCTTTTAGTCTTGACCTGTAATTACGTAACTCGGCAGTCAATTGGGAACATCACCCAAAATGAGCCTAAGCACTGACACGTGTGTCGATACATTTTTAAGCCAAAGATACTTTTATTTTAACAATAGCTGAAAGATCAATAACTTAGGAGGACATTGTTTTATGGCTTTGATGATAAGTCATATGAGCATAACATTCAAAAAGCATTAAAAACCTGCACATCTAACAATGCAATTCAGTTATTAGACGGGCTCGGAATTTCAGCAAGGCTTTACTCGACTCTCTCCAAGTTATCTAACAATACTAGTGGAACATTCCTCGCACGTTCTAAGTGGTCGTTTCCTGATGTGGCAAGCTGCGGGGTGGAGTTCTGCCACAAGGGGAGGATAGAGACACGGGACAGAAAGGTTCACACAAACAAAGGGGCTTTATTAGAGAGAGCGGCAGAAGTGTGGACAGGGCCCTCTATGGGGATCACAAGGGGTGCCAAAAGAAAGGGAAAACGCTGCAACGGAGGAAAAATGGGGGCTTGGGCCATCAACAGCACTCACCAGGGGTACACAGACTCCCTGAGACGTGGGGGGGGGGGGCAAAACCCATCCAGCTGACGCCTTTAAACTGTGATGAGGATAATCAGTGCTGGCAGAGTCAGGAGGAACTCATTAACTAAACCAAGCCCAGTGCCACTGATGTAACTCCTGCCAACTCATAGTACTGCGGCTTTTTTTGGTAAATAAAGAACCAAATCACAATATTACATAAAACAAACCTTATATGAACAGTTAATATGCCTGACTGCTGCTGAATATGACCTCAGTTGTAGCATTTGAAACATATGGTCATGAATCATGCATTAAATTACTCAGAGTAGCCCAGAGCACATATAACACACCATGAGTCAGTCGGTATTAATGATATAGCATGTCTGAGCTCAGATACCCACGTCGAGACAGTGCCACCAGTTCATTGTGCATCCCTGTTGGGTATTTTCCAGTATTTATTTAAAAGAACGTTCCTTCCTGAAGACTATTCCGGATCCTTTTTGAATTAAACGGCTCACTTTCTCTCTCTCTCTCCAAAATACTCGTTATCTAGGATTTTTAGTAACTATAATGTAGGAAGTAAAGACTTCATTGTGTAAGAACCATTAAAGAGATTTTAATTAGGCATATTATTGTACTAAGATTTTAATATTTTTTCACCTTAGAAAGGTTTTATCACTTCGTTGTTGACATTAAGTCCAAGGTCCTTGTTTGTTCAGAAATCCTGTCTAAATAACATGAGAAATTCCCAGTTTCTTCATGACCACTATGTTGTAAAAACCGATGATTTGACAGGGGATGTGGGTGATGTGCAGCTGCAAACTGAACGCTTTCACACATCCTCAGCCCTGCCCATTAAAAGGAAAGAAAGCTGTCAGCAGGAGGGCCCTTGGCGAAGCAGCACAGGAGATCCGGCGCATTTCAACAGGCTTTGTCAGAACTCAGCCCCTAAGATGAAGATCGACTCTCATTGCACTTAATAGTAAAGTGCTGTGAGAGCAGAACTCTTAAAGGTACAGATCAGAACTCTTAAAGGTCAGATGCACAAACAATGAAGGACACAGAAAATCAAAGGTGAAGATCTTTCACTAAGAGATTCTACATACAGCTTGTTACCAATACATCTCCGGATTCAGGTCTTACTTCTTCACCCCACAATCAGTGAATTATCTGCTTGGAGGTACTAAAATAATATATATATATAAAAAATCTACATTTGTCTATAATACAAACATGAATTCTTCATGCATTCTCAAGGTTGAGTGCCGTCATGAAATTACTTCCAGTGCTACTTGTGGAAAATGGTCACGGGCATATTCACAGAGATGTGAAAAGATAGGAAAATGGCCCTGATGATAAGTTTAAGCACATGGCTTCTTCGGCGTGGATTTCAGAATTGCTGTTCTGCTTAAATTCTTATATAATGATGCACAATGCAAAAGTAAACAAAAGCAAAGTCAAAGTACACAAATGATCTACTACTATCTGTCATCTCTCTGTGAACCACTGTCTCATAGACAAATAAATCTACTCCCATCTTGATTGTAAATGCAAGTTCATAATATCCCATGAATTTTTTTACCCCTTTAATAATTTTATCTATGCAACATTTACTTGGTTTGGGAACCCCTTCAGTCAAACGTTTGCCCTGATCAATGCTTATCTACAAGGTTGCATTTCGACTCGGAAACACCATCTGGCCAGATTCTATCCTCATTACTTCCGCCCAGCTGACCACATTTATAAACCCTGCCAACTCAATTATTATAAGCAGGTCCAGCTGGATTTTCATTAATCGAAATGTCCGTGGACACAGAGATGGCGGTCAGTCGCCATAAAAGGGCATGAGATTATCCCAACGCGCCTTATGACATGACCGTCACAGCAGATCACAGCAGAATAGCTAGCAGAGAGATACTTCGTTGACACAGATTTATGCATGTGTCACAGATGTGATGCATATACACACACAAGATGTTTACGTGAGACTGTCCAACTTGGAATGGTGGCACGAAGCAGCAAATGAGGCAATTGCTCGTAATCTTGGGGTAATAGCTGAGGCTTCTTGGATGGCATAAAGTTTTGTGGTCTGGACACATCCTCTCTACCCCTGCAGCTATAAGAGATTTTTACTCTAGGATTAAATATACAGAGTGTGTTTCAATCCCAAACAAGTGCAGACAGATTATTCCATAAACAGAACAAGAAAACCATGCGAATGCAATAATCAAACAGTGCGTTTGTTGCCATAATGAGAGGACAGAAGCATTTAATTGGTTAATTAAAGGGGTCTCCAGCTCCGGTCCTGGAAGGCTACCGTCCAGTAGGTTTTCTATCCTACCCAGCTTCTGATGAGCCACAACTGTTCTCAGGTAAATACCAGGAGCAGGTGTGGCTCATCAGAAGCCAAGTAGGATAGAAAACCTACTGGATAGTAGCTCTCCAGGACCGGAGTTGGAGACCCCTGGGTCAGGTCATATTTCAGTGGCACAGCTATGGGTCAATCAATTTTTAGAAAAAACTTAGATAAAATGAAAGAATTCAGAGATGCAGACAGGGCCGAGTTTCCCCAAAAGCATTGAAGCACTAAAAGCAAAAGATCTAAAAGCTCTAATTAATCTGGATAAATACATTTTTCAACAAACATTTATATTATTATATTATGCACTGAAATGTTATGCCTTTCTAGCAGTGGTGTCATGTGGCTCATGTCAGTGTTTCCCAGTCCGGCCCTCAGGGACACACAGAATGTCCATGTTTTTGCTCCCACCCAGCACCAGGTAGGGAGCAATAATGTGGACTGCTTGGCAGGCAGGTGGGAGGGAGCAAAAACATGGACCGACTGTGGGTTCCTGAGGACCGGATTCGGAAACACAGGCTTAGATGTTGAATTACTTACCTAAAACGAAATGGATTCTAGTTTTGCCGATTCTGGGACATTCATCCCTGATGATTGAGAGCAGATGTGGCTTCTGATGGAGAGTCACCCTAATGAGGCAAAAATCCATAAGAGAAATGTCTTTGTATGACACAACAGAACCTTCTTTAATTTCACAGATACAGTATCACATTTAGCCAGAATGACTGTGAGGTCCAAATGACTCTAGATGTTTTGTACATATTGGTATTTACTGTAGGAACTTGGGATCGTACCTCTGACCTTCACAATTTTGCGTTTGAAGAAGCCAGTTAAATGGGTTTCTGTTGTTATTGGTTCCGTTATTCCCAAATATCTCAGCAAAAGCCGCAGTACTAGCATGCATTTTTAATATTACTACAATAGATGCAAAAGTTTAATTTAATAAAATGACATTTGCATTCTGCTTTCCTGATGGTTACCATTATGTGCAGATGGATGCATTTTATGTTTAAAAGCTTTTCTATTCTTAGTTGTGCCATATTATTTATTGTTGGGCTTGGAATAATGTTTTTTTTTCCTTAGAGTAATGTCTCTTTCTGCCCAATGTCGCTTATATCAAACCTGATGTTTCAAGTCTCAAGGCTTGTTTGTATAGTTTTGTTCATTTAAGTACCCATAAATAAATTGGTTAACTACATTTAGTTATATTCAATGGAAAAACAGTTACATGCCAGCAGAACAATAAAATAATGCTAAAATGATTATTACCCCATTTTTGCTAAGAAAAAGTAAATACAAGGAAAAGTGCAGGTTATAAGAAGGCACTCCAGCGATGTGCCTGTTTAAATGGAGAAAAATGTCCTTGGTATCTTCAGAGTGTCCTGGGTATCTTCAGTGTGTCCTGGGTATCTTCAGGGTGTCCTTGGTATCTTCAGGGTGTCCTGGGTATCTTCAGGGTGTCCTGGGTATCTTCAGGGTGTCCTGGGTATCTTCAGGGTGTGCTGGGTATCTTCAGAGTGTCCTGGGTATCTTCAGGGTGTGCTGGGTATCTTCAGAGTGTCCTGGGTATCTCTAGAGTGTCCTGGTTATCTTCAGAGTGTCCTGGTTATCTTCAGGGTGTGCTGGGTATCTTCAGAGTGTCCTGGTTATCTTCAGAGTGTCCTGGGTATCTTCAAAGTGTCCTGGTTATCTTCAGGGTGTGCTAGGTATCTTCAGAGTGTCCTGGTTATCTTCAGAGTGTCCTGGGTATCTTCAAAGTGTCCTCCTTTCTTATACCAAATGTTCTCACAACTTCTTTGAAGACGCGGTCAGTCAGTGTTATGTTATAATACAGATAAACATCTCATTCATCTACTTTCTTACTGTTTCCAGTTCCTCTCTAAAACTGTCTAACATCCCTATTATACAGTCTGTATTAAAAACAGAAAGATATTTTTCACTATGAAACAAATATGTTATTTGATACTTCAACGCTATTTTGAGCTCCCAGAAATTAAACCCAATCATACTGCTTCTCATTTGCATTTGTTTAGCACTAATGAAAGAAATATTTGGAAAATAAATTCTGTCTGAAAATTCAGGCCCTGGTCTTCACCACTCCATTGCAATCAAGATGAAATTTTCAAGGATATCAAGCCTGAGACAAGGCTGATTTTTCCCCTTTTCTTGAAAAGCTTTCTGTTAAATTACCCATGTTATCGCTCTACATAAGCCAGATTTTCACTTTTATAGATTTGTATGAATGAATTTCACATTACCAGACAACACAAACAGTAAGTCTTTACCCCTCCGTGACCAATGACCCTAAGAAATTCATTTTGTTTGTACAGGCAAAGTTTAAGCTGTAATAAAATGCATACATCAATCCAGTCTTCCATCTGTTTCTAAGAATTTTTTTCATCACTCGAAACTAAGCATCTTAATGCTGTAACACACTACAGAGAAGTTGGAAACAGCTAGTGGTCACACTAAAAGCTAAATGGTCCATTACCTACCACCTAGACATGTTGAGGCACTGAGCAGAAAGCATTCCTTACATAGACTACTACCCCTCGTACTCCAACTCCAACATTTGCTGTTAAGGCCCTAGTGTGTTTGCCTGCATCTGTACACAGATGCTTATAAGGATGACGATACGTTTTTGTTGAGTTAGTCCGCTGATGAAATTGCACCTGGCTATCAAGTTGAGACAGCGATTAAAACATCATTTAAGCCATTTAGAAATTATAACCAAAACAATGCAGATGGAGCTGGGATGCTATCAACATTTAGGGAAAAGCTGAAAATCCGGAATAGAATCTGTTCCAATTAGAATCTGTTTGGTTGGGTTGGATAGTAATACAGGGGGCCATCAAAAAACTTGAAAATTTGACCCTTATTCCCCAAAGCAGATGCGGGCCCCCTGCTAGGCCACAGCCTTCCCTCCCAGCTACACAACTCCAGCTTTTATAATTATCTTCACCCCCCCCTTCCCCTTCCTACTGCTTTACCCACCTGCCCCTACTTGTTTAGTACATTGTTGAAGTTCCTCAGGTGCACTGTTGCACCCTGAACCTGACCAATCCCCACATTGGCCTTGTGGTACATCTTGTCTTAGCTTCTGCAGAAGGTTGTATAAACCCTGCTCTCCCAGGAAAAGCTCCTCAGGGCCAGAAAGCAGCTGAAATCCTACGGTGAGGATACCTGTCACTGGCAGCGTAATTACCCAGTGTTTAGCAATACAGCCCACTGCTACGACTACAATATCATAACAGGTCATTACTCTGTAACACACTGGCCATCTACAACGGTGCTAAATATGTTAGCAATACGCAAAAACTTCACAAAACTGTGGTGTTTTATCTCAAGAAATCAAAATTACCCAAAAATGTAGAGCTGTGCATTTGCACATGGAAATTCACCAAAGCTGGTCCGTTTCTGGGTTCGAGGCGTGATACTATCTGAATACAGACCCTGGGAAAATGTGTTCTTTTAGCCGCGGTAAAGACCAATAAAGACACAGTTGTACCAATGACACAAAGAAGCTCTACAATTAGCTTGCAGTAGCAAAAATTCAAAACAAGATGCTGGCGTGTAACAAACGTCGTGCCAAGGAAGGAAGAATTTTACGTCACTATCAGAATCTGCGCCCATCAGCTCTTCCTCAGACACCCGAGTAACAGTGTCAGACTTTGCTGAATTGATCCTAAGACAATCTTATAAACCAGTGATTTTTTTTTTTTATGCATTCAGTTACCATTCCAAGGCTTTCCAGACTATCCCCCGCCACCTTGGAGAAAAACGTTGACATAGCCTAGGTCCCATGGAGATCATACTGTCTCTTCCCCAGAGGTGGAAATTTCAGGTCCAGAAAATAAAAATCCAGACCGTGATTCTGTTTCAACCAACCAGTTGAGTGCTCTGTAACTGTGACTTTTTATACTCAACTGACTGGTTAAAACAAAATCATGGTCAGGATTTTAAATTTCTACCTCTCATCACACTTAACCAACATCACCTACCACATTTGTGGCATATATTATTTAAACTATACACTTTAAAATATAAATGTCTAAAGATTTATGCACCACATGGCTTATATCACTGCCTCAATGTACTTTTTCATCATGTCAAAAATTCTAATGATTTTTCCCCTATTTGGTATTCTCCATTCTCTAAAATCTCATGTGCAGAATTCCAGGTTTTTAATGTAACATTGTGAAAGAGCATTTGTCAGGAGCACAGATGAGAGTAAATTAGCCCAGCGCAAAGTTAGTCGTTTTGAAATTGCTCACATACTAATTTAAATAACTATAGCTTATATAATTTGGACTCACTTTGTGATTTCATTGGAATTCAGAATAAGCTTCTATGCAGGCCTTGGCTGCTAGTTTCATAGACTTGGTAGAAACTTATAAAATAAATAGTTTTTATGGTATAAGCTAAATTACAGGGGCATAATGAGAGGGAGAGATTACAAAATTATCCATTTATCCAGCTTTACCATAAATAAATCCAAATGTACAGAAACTGCTGTTGGAAGCAGGAAAAAAGGTGACATAATTAGAGCAGGGAGTTTATTTTAAATATTTGCAACAGAAGCATAAACAAACAAACATGGGGAGGATGGTGTTTGCGGCAGGTTTGTATGTATTTAAAAGGCAAGTATCTAAGTGTTTTCTTGAATTCATTGATCTGCCTACAAGGGGCGTTGGTTCAGTCAAGGGATGCATGAAATAGTACGTCAGTTATAGTGCTGCTTCTGTTATTATAGGATAGAAATCTGAAGTTAGACATCACTTACATACTAAAATTATATTTTTCAAAGCAACATAGAGAGCAGGGTCAACCAGCACCTCTGAAGTGACTGAGGTTAAGGTCCCAGTTTAAGGGCCCAACTGCGATACAACTACTCTGACAGCCATTGGATGTGAAGACACAGCCAAGCTTCCCGACAATGCCACAGATCCCTATCTGGAGTTAGGGATTTAGCCGGATAACTTGTTGGATTTGTTGGAAGGTAGTCGGGCTAAATGTAAGTGAAGGGAGATTAAGTTCATTTAAATTGGGGTACCTTAAATCTGACAAGATATCTGGCTAAGCAAGAAATCCGGCTTTGTGATACAGGCCCCAGAAGTGAAGCATGTTCACAAAAATAATGTGTGGCTAACGCTATATAATAGCCACAAGAACTCTTGGTAAAGTAATAAAGCTGATGAATATTAACTGTGGAAAACACAGGTGTATGTCCTTAGCAGAGTCAAGAAAGTGGACAAACTGTGGATTGTTTGGAATTTGTGCAAGTATTCTGACCATTAATCCCTTAGTCACAGGAAGGGGGAGTTTTTTTCTTTTATGAACTTGTAAAACAAGAAGTATTGTTTTGAAGAACTGCTTTAATGGGACGTTATTTAAAAAAATTTCCAGCCTCTTGAGATTGGCTTTGGTTCTGTGGTGCAACAAATCTAAGCAGGACTGGGGGGGGGAGTGTGGCTCAGTGAAATAGGGCACTGTGCTTGTGGTGAGGAAGTCAGCAGTTCAAATTGCAGGGTCAGCAGAGTGGATTCACTGGTGGGCTGTCATGCAAGGCTTTTAACCTGTAATTGCTTCAGGGACACTTTCACAAAAAATATAGGTAACACAACTTTTTAGTAATTTATAAACACATTCACAATGCATTATAATGCATTTATTAAGCATATCAATAATGCATTTATTAAGCATCTCAAGCATCTTAAGTTCATCTCACCATCCAACAAGATACCAGTGATTTTATGAAGAAATTCCTGGCAGTTTTTTTTATTGTCTTACTGTTAATCTGCATATTTTCTAATGTTAAATTGCGATCTTAGTTGTGAGCAAACCCAAATAAATAGCTTTAAACATTTCCTTTGCCTGCCTAAGACTTTTGCACAATACCGTATATTAGATACATGTATGTGCAAAGAGTAACGCTTGTGCTGCATTTTTTATATAAATTTAATGTATCAATTTCTGAATTATTGACAGTGGCAAACCCAGGCAAGATGGGCCAGGTTGGGGCCTTCTGAGGGCTGACTTAATAAACCGCTGACCTCCATGCCCTCCCCCACCACCGTCGACAACTTTCACCATCACCACCCGCCCCCACTGCCCCCCCCAACCCCCCTAGGTCGACAACTTGCAATAATTAAAGGATCTGGACTGACATATTTTGCTAATTCATTCACTGCCAGAAGGGGAGTCGCTAAGCGTTTTCTGTTTGGCAAGATACTGCCTTCATTTTCCACAAATCGATCTTCAGATGTGTGTCTGTGAGTTGATCATTGATCATGTTTCCTCATGAATCCAATTTGTATATTTGATTCAGAGGAAGCAGAGCGGCTCAGTGAAGAGGTCTATCGCCGCTTCCCCTCCTGCCACCACTCTCTCCGTTCGGCATGATCTCTCTGTGTGGCGTGGCTCTCCTCCTTTTCCCCTCCTGCCACCACTCTCTCCGTTCGGCATGATCTCCCTGTGTGGCGTGGCTCTCCTCCTTTTTCCCCTCCTGCCACCACTCTCTCCGTTCGGCATGATCTCCCTGTGTGGCGTGGCTCTCCTCCTTTTTCCCCTCCTGCCACCACTCTCTCTGTTCGGCATGATCTCCCTGTGTGGTGTGGCTCTCCTCCTTTTCCCCTCCTGCCACCACTCTCTCTGTTTGGCATGATCTCCCTGTGTGGTGTGGCTCTCCTCCTTTTCCCCTCCTGCCACCACTCTCTCTGTTTGCCATGATTTCCCTGTGTGGTGTGGCTCTCCTCCTGCAGTTCGACGATATGCACTGAGTGTAACTGGCACTTAAAATTGTCTGGAATGGATGGATGGATGGATGGATGAAGGGATGGATGGATGGATGAAGGAAGGGATGGATGAAGGGATAGATGGATGGATGAAGGGATGGATGGACAGATGAAGGGATGGATGGATGGATGGATGAATGGATGGAGGGACTGGGTATTTTCCTGTCAACATTACAATTCTGGAATTAGCAGAATAGATAATGGCAATTTTTGTTAGGTCATCTATTTCTTTTCTGTTTTTTGACACTTTAACGCTACAGCTCAGGGCAGTGTGATGGCGCAGTGGTTAGCACTGCTCAGGGCAGTGTGATGGCGCAGTGGTTAGCACTGTTGGCTCACATTTCTGGGACCAAGGTCTGAGGCTCCACCCTGACCCCATGTGGAGTTGGTATGTTCTCCCCATGTAGTTGTGTGGTTTCTTCAAGAGTTCTCCCATGCCCCCCCCCAAAAAAGTCCAAAAACATGCCAAAGTGAATTGGAGTTACCAAACTGTCCATGGGTGTGCATGTGTGAGTGAATGGTGTGTGAGTGTGTCCTGCAATGGGTTAGGGTCCAGTCCTGGGTAATTCCCTGCCTTGTGCCCAATACTTCCAGGATAGGTTCCAGACCCATGCAGCCCTGCATAGGACAAGTGGGTATTGAACATGGATGGATGGATGGATGGATGGAACACTATAGTTCAGCAGCCTGAACCAGCACACGTGGATTTAACGGGGATCATATGTGTGAACAGGTAAAAGAAGCAAACTTAAGTAATATATTTCTTTTCCAGTTTTTACACAAAATTCACTGCAAATATATGATCAAACATTTCATGTTCTGGCCAGATCATACTGGATGATATCCATAACTGTACCACTCAGAGGAGATCGACACAAAGTTGATGATCATTCCTTTAGTTTTCAATTTATATCAAATCAGCAAAGTTTCTTTTATCTATAAATTCCATTTCATTATCAAAGCCAAAAGGCAAGCAAAGTTCAACTATAAGAGGAGGTTAGTTTGCTAACTCTCTTTTTAAGCCCCAATCATCATTATTGAAAATGCAATAAGAACATGATACAGTAGTTCCCTGGTGTTGACATTAATAGAACACAAACATCTGGAATATACACAAGCATACTGGTGCCTGTCATTAATAATGATGCTACTGAACCACAACTAAAACAATGGAACCCATTTTGGACAAAGAGTGTGGGCCTATTCTCCCTTCCAGATTATACTCCAGCCTTGTGCCCTGTGCTGCCCAGGTTAGCATACCCCTCCCCCCTCCCCCAACCACACCAACCCTAACCAGACGGGTTAGAAGAAGGATGGGTGAACCAATGGCATGAACTAATTCAATAAACACCTCTGCAGACTACATACAGATTATTTCCAGATATGTTGTATATATCTGTTTATTTATCTTATTTTCTCAGAAATTCTAGTACTTTAGCCCCACCTACTGGACAGAATTGTGATAACATTTCCTGTGTGATTCAATCAGCAAATCTCATTTTAATACCTTATTTAATAACAAATACGCACTCATTAGAGTACATTTTAGTTGTTCTAGAATTTTTTTTAAATGTAAAACTAATTTGTTTAAACCGCCAACGAGCCCATCACGGCGTGGGCGGGCCACTGCGAAATTTCCCCATTGGCAACACCCCACACCCCACACCCCCACCCGACCAGCAGATTTTATTGGATGCTGCTTTTGATAACCGACGATCATGCAAAATTCGCAATAAGAAACTTACAAAGTGGGACCCCTCCTCCCTGGGTCAGCAAATTTCACTCCTGTTGCCCCCCTCCCCCGAGACCCCTCCTCCGCCCCTGGTTCGTGACGTAGCCTGAAAAACATAGAAACAATAGAAGTAATTTCATGGTAAGTCCTGAGTTTTCAATTATAAAATATTTGATTATGCAGATAAGGATCAGGAACAACAATGCAGAATTACAATGCAGCTGCCAATGGCTCAATATTTGATTTAATCAAATGAACAAACACAAACACGTATAGGCCTATTTCAAGTGATGGATAAAATTACTGTATCCACATATCAAAATGTGTGTTTGGGGTAAAACTAAAGGCACGCACAAGACATTATGGATAAACAACGTACACTTTTATGCTACTCTTAATTACGCTGGATGAATCTGTTGATTGCGTAATAACCAATTCAAACTTATATGTCAAACTTTGTATTAATTAAAAGATGAATTTTCCCAAGAGCATGAAACCCTATTTGTCCTGTACACAACTATAATAATAATTTTTATATTTCCAGAATGTGTCCAGGAAATTTCACGTAATTCACGTAATTTCGTTTTGATAGCGAGTTAAAAGACACTCATTTTGCAAGTATTTATTTCAGTAGCTGTAGAATATGCAACACCAAAGCACGTTTTCCACCTGGAGGTGATGAAACGTTACGTCTGCACTTCGATGACGTATACGCCGCTAAAATATACTGCGCGGTCCAGCTCGCGGGCTTCCTCCGTTCACGTTTATTTGTTTTACAGTGTAGCGCTTTAGCGACCCAGAGTCCAGACTCCAGACCCCAGTTTTCCCAGCTTGCCTTTTAGACATTGCGCATGCCCATTCCGGCCGATCGCGCAGCATTTGCTTAAACGTATCGCCAGACCGTTTTCCCCTCATCAACGCATTTAGCGTTATCCTTGCACAAAAAGTGGCGTCGTCTGTAATATCCACTAGTCTGTCTAGCTACTGTAGACTACCAATGGAGCTGCTTTGGATTGTCGCAGCCACCAGGCCGGTAATATACTGACGGAGACACAGCGATTACTATAGTGGTTGCCATGGACACGAGCTGTTTACTTTACAGGGAGGAAAGCTAGTTAAACTGAAACTCACAGCCATAACTTAGTTTCTTATTGTATAAAACAATAGCAAATAATAACAGTAATAATACAAATAATTATTTTCCTTAATCTAATTCTTGATAGTTCTGAGTAGTTATCTTTATAAAAAACTCAAATTTTAAAGCAAGACTTACCACCGGACGCAAGAACTGCTAAACTAACCAAGACACAGCCAAGGTAACGTTATCCAGCTTGAATGTCAGTTACGGACGAACCTGATGAGAAACGTATAGTAGTTAGACAAAGAGGAAACAACAAAACTGAAATACCGTAATATCTCTAACTGATATTATTATTGTTATTATTATTATTTTATCTATATGCAGTATGGATGGCCCAGAGGTGATTAATTTTGCATCAGTGGAGAGTGCTCTGAATGCCGCCCTGGAATCCGACGAAAGGTATCAAAGAGAAAATAATGCCAAGTTTCGAGCTGTACATCAAAGGGTGGCGTCTTACGAGGAATTCAGGTGAGCGTCACTTATGCACATGCTACATACGCTCACACGGCTCGGTCTCCATTTGGAGCGGGAATCGAGGCGGAATTAAAATTAAATGAATGAAATGTTGAAACGTGGTTTTGACACAAGATAATAAAAAATAGAAAAATCATGAGGGAAATGTATTATTTAATCATACGTCACCTTTATAAATATACAGGCTGACTCTTGGAGCTGTCCATAATATTTTAAGCATATTTTTAAGCCCTGAATCCTCAATTAATATTTTAATAAGTTAATATTGATATATCATAACTTATACCAATATAAGTTGATGTTTTACTTTTCAGGGACATAGTCCTGGCCTCCCATTTGAAACCTCTGGAGAAGAGTGACGTGACAGAAGCCCCACGCAAACAGCCATGGAATTCCGTTTTTTCCGCTACAAAGCAAAAGGACACGGTTGGTTGTGAGGTGACGGAGGTCAGTCAAGGCAGTAAATACTAAATACCTACAATTAATAGCTTACAGTGGGTGTGAGGATGTTGAAGATGGCTTAGATGTTATATTTATAGTTATAAAAGTTTGTAAGGGGACAGCAATTGTGCCGTATACCTCTGAAGTCCAGGGTTCGAGTCTCCGCCCCAACACTATGTTTGCGGAGCATGGGTTGGCGGCCCATCCTGGGTTATTCCCTGCCTCGCACTTGTAGCTTCCAGGAAAGGCTTCACACACCACAACCCTCCAGAAGACTCATGAGCTGGATGGAAGTGTGTGATTTCCAGAGTTGGGTAGGAGAGTAGAAGTCCAGACCCATTTTGTTTCAGCTAACCAGTTGAGCATAGAGTCACAGTCACAGTCACAGAGTACTCAACTGGTTGGTTGAAACAAAATCCCTGTCTGTACTTTTACTCTCTGGACCTGAATTACCCAACTCTTCATGATAAGATGTATTGATCATTCCAAATGACTTTCTTATATTGATTTTGATATTGAGAACTGATACACATTTTAAATACCTTTATTAAAAACAGTCAAGGAAGTCAGTATTTCTGCCACCTACTGTGAGAAAATATTTAGACCCTTGTATCACAGCTCGTTTACAACCAAATGTTTCTGTGAGTAAATCTTTTTTTTCCTTTTTCCTTTTTTTTTTACCAAGCTTATTTCAGTGTGCAGCTATTCTTCTTGGCAGATCTGGCTGAGTTCTCTCGAGTTGCTGGCTGATTGCCCAGATAAAGAGTTTTCCAGCTGTACCACAGAATCCGAATAGGGCACTTGAAGAAGCGAAGCCTCTGAAGAGAGGCGCAAAAATGTTTCAAAGAAAAAAAAAGGAAACAATTCCAAAAGTTAATTAATTTAAATATACAGAATGAAATCAGCATTCAAGAGCGGATTATCGGTAAATGAAAACACTACTTTTGCATCCATCCGTTTTACTTTCGCAGGACTTCTTATTGGGTCTCAGCCGGCCTGGAGGCTGTCCAGGGTGTGAAGGGCATCAGGCTGGGTTCAGCCAGGACAGGATGCCAGTGCATCACAGCCCGCAAACACACGGGGGGTAGGGTTAGAGGGTTAGAGATGCCAACATTGACTATAATCACAAATGTGGGGACTGCTTCAGTCAGATCATAAAACTCATGTATGGGACAAGGAATTGGGGGTATTTCTTTCTGGGATGGGTGCAACGCAAAAGCAGGCAGGAATTTTTTTACAAGCTGTTTTGACGGATGATGAGTGACAAGTAACCGAATTAATTATAGGAGCACGGACACTGGGATCTAATATGTAATTATGGTTACAGGGTTCTAACTGCTTATCCAGTGCCATATCACTGGGAGCCTGGAACCTTAAATAACCAACGGTGGGAACCCCCTACATAGGATGGCAGTCCATTTCAGAACACATACTAATGCATTACGGGTAATTTGGACATACAAATTGTCCTAAGTGCATGGGTGCTGATCAATCTGCGTACTTGACCATGCTTGTGTTCTCGCGTACCCGTTTTACGTCATCTTCCTTTGCCGAAGACCAGTTCCAATACTAAGATCAGAAGTAGAGTGGACAGTAAACATCCCCGGATGTCGTTCTTGCCCCGCCCCAAATATCAAGGATGCATCTGTTGCATCCTCGCCAAACGAGACCAATCCCATGATTCATTGTGCCCCAAGTTCGTTCTTGGGAGGCGAGTAAGCCACAGGTACGATCTCGACATTCTTGGTATTGAGAAACACCCATGTCTTCTAACTGAGGGAGGAAATTTGACACAAATAGAGCACAGGTAGGATACGAAAGCCCATCATCAGCACCCCACTGAGCCACCGTACTATTCCAATATAGTCTATTAAGGTATGAGTTAATATTAAATAAGTTCAGCTATTTAAGCCCTTGCTCCATGTTCCAGCACGCTTGGCGGATAATGTGCTTAACTGATGCAAAAGGATGCATTTCAGGTGAGAAAGAGAGACAGCTGCCTTACTCGACCTGTTCACATCCCCTGCAGGAAGCTGACTGGGAAGCAGGGTGGTGATGTGGAACAAAACAAATTCAGTGTGAGAGCTGCACAGTCACCCACGTCCAGGGATTAAATATTTTCATGGACTTTACATCTCACATTATTTAGCTGCTCTAAAGTCTGTTCTGAATTTGGCAAGATTGTTTTGAAGTCTTGCCAGATTAAATCTACATTTAGTAATGTAATAATACATGCCATTAATTATCTGTAAGATTTATGTCTGCTTGGCCAGCAGAGGTCCGTGTGACACAGACTGGAGGATGCAACAGGGAGTTTTTTTGCACCTTCAGGACACGACATCCGGCCGAACAGAGCAAACATCCAAGACAGCCATTTATATAAAATGAACTTACAGGAAAACTATAAGTTACAGCTTATGTCAGCTACTTTATACCTTTAACAATCAATGGAGGGGCTTGTTATCCGAATTTACCCCACCCTAGGAGACCCATCTTACATCACCAAAAAAGCTACATTATGACTGTAATATTTTCTGTTTTATAAATTATATTGTGCATTTTCAAAAGCCCATATTATTCCGAATTGTGAAAATTTGCAAGTAACATTGGGTGGAACAATTAAAATCCTAACTATGGTCAGTGGATATTCTCCATATTATCAAATTCTGACGATACACTAGGCATAGATTCACATTACTTCCTTCACAGCTGATCTATAAGCAGAGTTGAGTAATTCAGGTCCAGAGAGTAAAAGTCCAGACCGGGAATTTGTATCAACCAACCAGTTGAGTACTCTGTGACTGTGACTCTTTATGCTCAACATTTGAATACTCTGGACCTGAATTACCCAACTCTGTCTATATCAGGGTTAGATCATTTGTAAACCATCAGTTAACCTCAAGAAATACATTAGCTATGTGTGTCAGCTCAGTCAAGGTAAAACGTGGTCACGTCTAACCAAAACAATGCCCCAAAGGCCAAGATCAAACCTACATAACTGGCTCGTTCAAAAAATGTGATCCTGTTGAGCATCAACTACAAAAACAATTTTTGTTTGATATTCCATTTAAAACAATCTAAAAATGAATGCTGTGAAAACTTACAATATGAAGGTTCATGTTGTAAAAGGTGTCTTACTTATGTGATGCTGAACGTTTCTGTAAAGTTCATCTCCATGTGATTTTTTTCTTCACAGTGTGACGCAGCGGCGTTCCAGCCGCGGACAGCCTCGGAGTTTCAGCGCGGCTGGCGGCGATTAGGGGGGAAGGTCAAAGACAAATATCACTGCATAATATCCCTCGGCGGGCCGAAGTTGAGGGAGATATTCAACATTGAGATTGCTTCAGGCCTGCTGGGAGAGTTCCTGATAATTATGGCAGAATGTATGCAGCCGGGTGATGAAGCAGACGTACTGGCAATCCTGCAGGGGCTGTCACAAACTTGTCGTTTCAGCCTCAACGTGTCCTTCTTGGACCAAGCAGAAAGAGACGGGTGTTCACAGCTGTTTGCCAGGCTGCTTGATGTAACGGATAAACAAGCTCAGATAGGGCACACAGGTGTCGGCCATGACGGCGCCCTAGAACATACTACAGAGACACGGGAAAAGGAGAAATATTACAAAGCTTTTTGCGATGCTCAGACTGCAGGGGACGGGATTGATGTTGAAAAGCTGAAAGACTTAATGCAATGTTATGATGTGAAGACACAACCTTTCGCTACCCAACTGGATTGCATTACCCAAGACAGCTAAAAGTGTGTAACTCATCCTGATGCTGTTTAATAAAAACAAAAGTAAAGTAAAAGACTGAGTTATCCATTTGCATTACTATTTAAGTCTAAACATAAGAAACTTTATGTATATTTTGAGTCCTTTTTTACTTTTATGGTTACTAAATTCTAATACAAGTTCTGAGGAAAATTATGATGTTTTTATATAAATATGCTATTAAAAGTTTTAGTGTGTTTTATTAGAGTAATTCATCTGGTCTATGCAGTATATGAGCCATTAGCTGTGTTCACTAAGTACCCTGAGATTTCTTATATTATACATATGTCTGTGATTATACAATAGAGAATATACTGCATGTCATGGTGCAGGGGTGTTGCAAGTGGGTTGGAAAATGATTCAGGGGACCATATATGGACAGGGATTCTAAAACCAGCCGGCAATCTGGGGATGGAGGCCCAGAATTTCCAGTCACCTTTTTTGTGATGTATATTTTCTGACATCTGACTGGTTTGTCTAATCACTCAATTTCCTGAAAAAATTCAAGAAAATGCAGTTTTGGTATCAAACAAAATGTATTCCAGAACGTTCCAGGCATTTAGTAATACTTTAAAGCTGGGGTAGGCAACCTTATCCACAAAGGGCCGGTGTGTGTGCAGGTATTTGGGGTAACCTTTAGGTCAGCTGTTCAAACCCAGGTGTGAGGACTCTTCAGCCAATCAGTCCTCTAATTAGTCATCTAATTAGGGAGCTGCAGCGAAAACCTGCATACACAGTGGCCCTTTCTGTTTTATAGTAAAGATGTGGGAACATCCTCCAAAAAAACCTTATTAATATGGAGACAAATAAATGATGATGAATTTAGTTATTTTTTATAAGATGCATTACAAAAAGTACAGTGAGCATAAGCTCAGTGGTCCTTATATATATATTTTATATGAGCACAACTATTTATTTTCATTGGCTAACATTAAAATAGCACTAGTGTGTAGATGTGAAACAGGCCTGCACAGGGAGTGATGTGGACGACTTCACACGTTGTGTACATGCAATCGGCACATCACAAGGCCCACGATAGCCTGCTGGGTTGGGATTGGCCTGGCTTGCTCTGATTACTGTGTGAATGCACAGTGGGGGTGTTCAAGCTCTGAACCGACAGTCTCGTTCCTTTTGATTTCTGTGTACGAAAGGAAGTGAGGTCTTCATGCTTTTGTGGACACAATGTAACTTTAGTTTGTTTTTCTGTGGACAAAATGCAGCAAGGCATTACTTAATTTCATCATTAAATAATGCTTCTTTGCCACAGAATATAATTTGTGCATGAAAATAAGCACTAGACACTTGGCGCCCCATATATTTCGCAGCTATAACCAGCCCGGTTTTATGTCCGTGCGCAGTCATAGGGAGTCTGGGTGACGCCGTCGTATAGAAAATTTGCCTACAAAAGCATAAAGATTCACTTCCTTTCGTGCACAGAAATCAGAGGAATGACACTGTAGGTTCACGGCTTGAACACGCCCACTGTGCTTTCACAGACCAATCAGAGCCCACCTACTTTGCATACTTGAATACTTCAAAGTCAGTCTATCTTGCAATCAATCCTACAATATATCTTACAATATATCACTCATTAAATGTCTCAATAAATAATAAAATTGATATAAGCTTTGCAATAATTGAATGATTTATTGATATATTTAATTACTGATGTATTAATTAGACAATAGACACATAATTAAAGATAGGTTGACAAATTAAGGATGTCTCAAAAAAAAACCCTCCATATATTATTGTTCAGGCTACTATATGCTTTAGAATCAAAAATTGTCGGTTAGGGTTATCTCCATAGCAACTCTGACATCATCACTGAGAATTCTCCAGCACTTTACCTTTAAACTCCAGTGAAGCAAGGATATATTCATCAGTATTTTTCAAATCGTACGTTATGACAGTTGCTTTAGAAATGTTGCTCTTTCCATTTTATTTTGGACTGATAGTACTGCTCTTTGCCCAGGAGAGCCCAGAAGAAAAGGAGAACATTTTTGCCAAGAAGGCTGGTCCTGCCTTTTTCCGGTTTGAAAATGTTGCGTCGCTGGCCGATGTGACAGTTGAACTACCATGTCGCTGCAAATCTGAAGAGGCCTATTCAGTTGTTTGGCACTACCAGAGACATCTTGCCAGCAAGGACAGTACAGTTATCACTGACTTTGAAGGCGTGTCAGTGATAGACACGGCTAAGGTAGGCCATAAAACAGACCTTCAGAACCGTTTGTCAATCCGCCTCTTCAGTCTGATCATCTTCAGAGGCCAGGTAGCAGACTCTGGTTACTACATCTGCGGCACAAAATCGAACCGATTTTTCTATGCCTACTATCTGGATATTCAGAAGATTCAGCAGGTGTCTTTGTCTCCTGGATCTGACATCTCTTCTCAGAATCCTTCAACAAGCAGAGGATCTGAACAATCTCCACACTTCATCGTGTTTAACAGATACTGGCGATGGTCAGTGTGTGATCGCTGCGGTGTACCCGGTGAACTAACTCGAGTGGGTCTGTGCTATTTGCGGAGCGACTACCTGAACATACGCTACAGGACTTCCAAACGTGGAATTGCCTCCTGCGGATCCCCTGCGGTGCCTCGCAGATTCCAGCTGGATGATTCTCTGACAGGGGCGAAGCTGGAAGTGAGAGAGTGCCAGGTGCCATGTCCAGCAGAACCCAGGCTACCATCGAAAGAGGCGGCCATCCTGGAGTTCCTCAGTGATTCCACGAAAGGAGCTGGGCTCCCAGTATATTATCAGAATCATCCAGTGAATGCCCACATCATCCTGGTCTGTCCTGGAGCAAACTCTAGGGATGCTGTAGCGTGGGACCAAGGGGAGAAGAGGATGCTCCGCAGACGCTTTATGGAAGGGGTCAGCAAGACCATGCGGGTCTACATCGATGGAGGAGGCCGTCTGCATTTTCACCCTGTGCTCTTGAATGACAAGGGCTCATACTACTGCTGGCTGCAGGGGAAACTGGCAGCAGACATCAGGCTTAGCATCTATCATCCTTTGGGCTACCAGTTCCAGCCCACTGACCCCAGAACAGTTGATTTCTTACGAGCCACTCTCATAACCTATGCAGGATTCACGTCAGTCTTCGTCCTGTTTTTAGTAGGCAGGTGTTCTATTAGGTATACTAGAATGTCCCGAAAACCAAAAATGTAAAAAATAAAGCCTAATGGACAAAAATGCATTTAATAAAATACTCTGTTTACAGATGTTGAACTGCTTATTCTGATTCTTTAAGCTTTCCTGGGACCGAATCATCTACTGCCAGTAATGTGTTTATTGCCAAATCCTGCTTCCAGTTTTCACTTGAAAAGATGTCTTGGACGACCAGAATTTATGTTAAACACAGATGCTAAATGACGCCCTGAGCGGCGAGAGAATCAAAGCAACCGGAAGTCATTTGTTCTCTATGAGAGGGCGTGTTGACAGGAGCAGCGGCGCCGCACGATGTGGCCGGTGTGGCCGTCCGGGTGCGTTTCCCGAATAACGACGGAAACTTATTATGTAAGTTTGTGGTTTGGCTTCTTGGATTGGTTGACTGTTCATTAGTTTTGCACTAAGCATTTGCAGACCCAAGACCCGTTTATATAGGTTAATTCTAGGATTGGGGCTGGGAAATCTGATCATGGATCAGCATAGGACAGGGGTGGCCAATCTTATCCGCAAAGGGCCGGTGTGTTTGCGGGTTTTCCCTGCAACTCCCTATTTATATCACGAATTAGAGGACTGATTGGCTGAAGAGTCCTCACACCTGGGTTTGAACAGCTGACCTACAGGTCACCCCAAATACCTGCATACACACCGACCCTTTGCGGGTAAGATTGCCCACCCCTGGCATAGGAGCTTGCTGGTTTTAATATGCTTATATTTCCAACTCTGCCTCGTAACCTATTCAGAGCCTGCCAACCCAAATTTGGGTTGCGACCCATGGGTTGAGAATAGCTGCTCTACAGTATACTTCTGATTTATTACAAATGATTGTATGAAAATGTTGCACTATTTAGTAATTATGTGGATGTTCACTCAATTGTTTGCAACAAACAGCAGCTAATTAACATGTCTGGGTACGTTGCAGTCTGTTGTTGATTTTTTTTTTTTTGTATACCTTTTTATATCTCAACTCCATCTGGTGAAATTGGAGCAGTGGGAATATCTTTGAGTATTACATACTGAAAACTGATTCGCATTATGGTATACAGCATTGCGAGGTCTTATCATGACACCTAGAGGTTTTGAGTTGAATTGTACACTACCAACCGCAGAGTGAATGCCGGAAGCTATCCTGAACTGGGAGTCTACGAGAGCTTCGTGCATTTGCTTAACGTTTGCTTAAGCAACGTTGATGGGACAGATAGACCCGCCTGGATGCCAGGCTTCTCTGCACAAGACAGGATTGACTACCGCTAACAGTAATGCTCGGACGAGTTTTCACGTGGCGTCGCCGGTGCTGACTCGCAGTATCCTGCCATTCTGTCGCACGCAGGTGCATTTCGTCTAAATCCAGTGACGGTTTATCATTTCGTGTCATCTTTCGCATTTGTACATTTTGCAAATGAAGTCGTTATCATTGAGTTTGATCGTTCATATAATTTTCAAGTTCAGTGACTTTTAGTAGATTAGTCTGATAGTTTGCTAACTAAGCTCTGTATGTGTGTGTGTGTGTGTGTGTGAGAGAGAGAGAGAGAGAGAGAGAGAGAGAGCGCAACATGCCTAAAGAAGTCCTTTGATGATAAACAGAATTTACATACAAGCAGCTGACCTAAGAAAAAAAGACCTTTTTTGGTCATGCTGCCAAATGTCCACACGGTGCCTCCCCCATTTTACAAATCACAACCCACTACTGTTATACTGGTTATGGAAACTGAATGGAACAACAGATTATAAAACGAAGCGTTTTCTTCCAACTTTCAATTTCAAGAAATTTGTAAATGGAGTGCATGATAGAATTTTAAACAAACACCACAGTAAAATTGTAGGGTACCTGTTGTACGTAGGTGGGCAGCAATGACGATCTAAAACAACATAAGGATCACCACTATAATAACAGTAGACTCAACCAATTCTAATTAAGGTGAACCCAGAACGACACAGGATGCCGGTACTTTAGGCCACTTAAAATTAATAAATTGTTTTACATGGCCGCCCGCCTCAATTTTTTGGTGCCGCCTCGATTTTTTTTATTTTTTATATTTTTCAAAAAATCCGTTTTTTTCACCTCAAAAACTGTCAGAGATCGTCAATGTGCCAAATCCTGATATCCTGTGCACTGTGAGCAAGTAGTCTCTTGTAGGGTGGTCCAATAATAGTGCCCTCATGAAACAATGGAAGTGCTGTTGTTTTGCTATTGTCAGGAGGACGCTTTTATTGGGCCATTCTGTGGCAAGACCATTAAACACTTAGACTAGGCATTTCTTTTGAAGGTTTCTCTTTTCTTGTAATTGTTTGAACTGTTGAGAGTTTAAAATGTTGAGATACTGACAAATTAAAGTTTAATTTTCTAGTTTTAGTATATCTCTGTTGCCGATCGTCTTTTCGCTAAAAATATAAAATCCCCTACTCACCAACATTTTAGAAGTTTGAGTCATGTAAAACAATTTATTAATTTTAAGTGGCCTTAATGACACGGAGTTCTAGCAGTTCTTATGACTTTGCTTAAATATATCACCTGCTGATATTGCATCTGAGGAGCGGTGAGCACAGCAAACTGAAAAGTTCGCTTCAATAACGGTTAAAACACTGACTCCGAAGTTTAATTAGATAGCGCTAAAACGATAATCCTTTGGTTTAGCAGGCGTTAACGACAACCACTAACTAATATGAATTTAGCTTTGGTTTGGTTTTTGACTCTGAAACCCTTAAAAACACACAGAGCGCTAAAATTTTAACCTCTAACACTTAAGTCCCAAATGTCGGTCCAAAGTGATTGCCAGGGGATATTTAGGACTTACTTAGTTAAGTGTCATTGGATGATGTCGTGTCTCTGGAATAAATCTGCGTTGAAATGTTCTTTCTGTGATATTCCGATTTCGAGACAGAAGCATTTTTGTCAGAGAAACCCTGTTTCGCAACTGACCCATGCTGACATTTCGGCCTCAGTGAAACCCACTTTTGGACTACAAATATGGCGCCACTTACCCGGAATTAGGAAGGAGGATCTCAGCTCTTTATTAGTCTATAGCTCTGTCAATCAAAACCCGGAAAATCAATATGCGTCCTTAAGCGTACTTGTGTTAACTTGTACCCGCTTTACATCATCTTCCATTGCTTAAGACCAGTTCCAATACTTAAGTACAGACATACAGATGCCCCACCCCAAATATCAAGGATACATTGGTTGCATCTGTTACTACTGAGGTGTTTCTCAATACCAGGAAGAACAAAGTTCATATTTGTGGTCTTGGCAAGACCGGTCTTGCTAACTTTGCCTCCAAGAATGAACTATGGGCGCAATCAATCATGGAACTGGTCTTGTTTGGCGAAGATGCAAGTGATGCTTTCTTGAGCTTTGGGGCTGGACAAGAATGACATCTGGGGGTTTTACAGTTCTCTTTCCTTCTGTCGGATACTGGAACGGGTTTTCAGCAATGGAAGATGACATAAAACGAGTGTGCAGTAACACAAGTACAGTCAAGTACGCATGTTGAGAAACGCCCCAGGATCTGAGTCAACTGTGGATTTGTTGTCACACATACACAGGTATTGAAAGGCAAATACAAAAGCAACTTCAAACTATCTTTTAAAAAAACTGAAAACTAATTAAAAGCAAGCCAAATACAAAAAAACACATCCAGTTCCTGTGTAGGGCTTTGCCAGTATCTAAACAGACAATTAAAGAAAATCGTCTATTTTGTGAAAATTTGTGCAAATACATGAGTTGGGCCATAACTTTCTATAATTGGTAAGGGTGTAAGTTTGGCAAATGGTCTAAAGTCCTTTATTACTTGAATAGTTCATTATTTTAATAGTTTAACACAGTTGACTCCGATCTGCAGCACAAACACAACTCAAATCCACAGCTGACTCATACTGTAGTGACAGCATCCTTGCCAAACAAGACCAATGCCATGATTCATTCCACTCCAGGTTTGCTCTTGAGAGGCAAGCTACCAAGACTTCACATTCTTGGTATTGAGAAACACCCAGGATTTCTTGCTTAGCCGGATAACTTGTCAGATTTAATCTAACATTAAATCTAAGTGATCAAAGATAAAAACTAAATCCGACAAGTTATCTGGATTAGTGAGAAACCCTGCTTCGTAAACCCTGCTTGACAAACCCGCTTTGTTCATGATATCCCACTTTAAATGTATTTCATTTTAATTGAACAACCACGCCTTGTGTTTACACACAGTCAGCCAACACAGTGCCAGATAGACTGCTGCAGACACGATCACAACAAACAAGAAAGATATGTATGATTTTGGGGTTTACAAACATTTTTGACCGTTTAAACTTTAATCACTTTACCTGCACAAAAATGCAGGCAGTTAGTTTACAGAACTAAACTTAGCAGAACCTAATCGGTCCGCTAACAGTTCTTAAAGTTAGTGGAAACGCTAATCCACTACTGAAAAAGTTAGCTTTGCTAATTAACGGATAAGAAGAACCCTGCCCACCAATGTAGCAAAGGGTTGCCAGTGTCCTGGGTTCTTGGAGGTCTTCTAGTCTTTCGGTCATACACACAGACTTCCTGTGCTACCATTTATAACCGCTTGGTTCTTTTCCATCTCTCTTCCAACCATTAGTTCTGCTTCCAGTCCCCGAAACTGACCCCATTCTCCTGGTCATCCTGACTGCATGCATCTCGAGTTGCAATTGCGGTGTGCAGAATTGGTATGCTTGACTCATGGTAGTCATCCAATTAAAAATATTTAATATGCCTATTACATAATTATAGTTTAATTTGTGGCAAGAGGTAATTATATTGATTCTAAAAAAAATGGTATAATAAAATGCTATAGAAAAAAGGAAAACTATACCCACGGATTCATTTGATTTCCAGAAATCATATCACCACAAGGCATTTGTGTAAGACTGGACATACAAACCAACCAGAGAGCAGTTCTCATGCTACACGTGTAGTTTTTCCAAAACTTGACATGAACAGCTTGTTTTATAAAACTGTCACAATTACATTCTAGCTAGACACAGTTTCAGCTTCAGTTTCGACTAGGGTTTTGCTCCCTTTTCAACCAATCTCCTCCAAAACATCAAGGTAATGTATATAAACTGAGCATGACATTAAATACCACCCAGCAGACATTATATGGACAAAAGTATTAGGACACCTGACCATCACACCTACAGGAACGTTTCACATCCCATCCTAAATCCATAGTTATCAATATGGAGTTGGTCCCCCCTTTGCAGTTATAACAGCTGGCACTCTTATAGGAAGGTTTACACAAGGTTCTGGAGTGCGTCTGTGGGAATTTTTGCCCATTCATCCGAAAGAGCATTGGTGAGGTCAGACACTGATGTTGGATGTGAAGGCCTGGCTCGCAATCTCCGTTCTACTTCATCCCAAAGGTGTTCGATGGGATCAGGGCTCCGTGCAGGCCAGTCATGTTCTTCCACACCAAACTGTCTTTTACGGAACTTGCTTTGTGCACTGGAGCACAGTCATGCTGGAATGGTAACCAGCCTTCCCCAAACCATTCCCAGTTGGAAGCATAAAATTGTCCAAAATGTCTTAGTATGCTGAGGCATTAAGAGATCCCTTCAGTGGAACTAAGGGGCCTAGCCCAACCTCTGAAAAACACCCCATAACATTGTCCCTCCTCCACCAAACTTTACAGTTGGCACAATGCAGTCAGACAGGTAATGTTCTCCTAGCATCTGCCAAACCCAGACTCATCCATCTCACTGCCAGACAGAGAAGCGTGATTCGTTACTCCACAGAACACCTTTCCACTGCTCCAGAGTCCAGTGACAGTGTGCTTTACTCTGCTCCATCCAACACTTGGCAGTGCACTGGATGTGAGGCTTGCATGCAGTTGGTCAGCCATGGAAGCCCATTCCATGATGCTCCTGGCAGTTTTTTGCTTGGATTAATGCCAGAAGAAGCTTGGAACTCTGCAGTTATTGAGTCAGACGGGGTAATGATAAAATATCCAGTCAAGGGAATTTCTGCAGCTGAAATTCTTAATGAGGTCGGGGGACATTGGCATAGTTCAATAAAGGTGCAAAAATAACAGTACAATCATGGTGTGCAGAAAGGGATGCGTCTTCCCTTGAAGCAGTTCTGGAGACAAAGCTAATTATTGTACATTTGGAGAATAGCTATTGTACGCTATAGATAGTTGTTACACGACCATGGATTAGGCTGATTGAACTGATTTGTTCACATTTTCTGAATAAAACAGCTGCCTGGATCTTGACTAAAATTTATTCATAAGGATTCGGTGCTTGTCATTGAAGTCAATGGCAAAAGAATGAGACAATTGTCAGTCATTGCAAGAAAGTAGTTAGCATCATTAGACTGGTTAAAGTCTCTGTACCTTAGGACACAAGATGAGCACAACATTGTAGTACCAGCAATACCACACATTCAGTCCATCAAAAAGGTAGTTTACAAAGTTTACATAGCATATATCGGGGGGGGGGGGGAGCATAGAAATGCATCAATCTGACCAGATCAGCATCTTGAATGTATCATGTATTGATTATTGTGGGACAATCTTTGGTCCAGTTTTGTTCTTGATTGAGGGGGACTGGCAAACACCACAAACCTCAGCATATGCATTTATCTGAATAGTTGAAACCATTCCTACAAACATGACTAGTGAAACACTGAGCATCCATCTTTAGGACCTGTGAAGTTTGTGTAGATATTCTGACTGTAATGCACCAAGTTCAAGAGGAAAAACCCAACAGCACCGTTGTGCCGACTGCTTCACCCTCTCTTCCAACAAATGGAGGGTTCTACTGACATTACCCATCACTATTTAGTCTTCAGGGGTATTTATTTTACATTAACAGCATCAAAGCCACACCAGGTGGAAATACCTGTAGGGTTCCCATACTATCCTGTTATTGGTTTAAAACAGTCTCTCTCAACCGGGTCCTAGGCGACATCCAGACAGTTCATGTTTTTGCTCCCTCCCAGCCAAACAGTCCACATTTTTGGGATTGGAGGGAGCAAAAATGTGGACCGTCTATGGGTCCCCCGAGGACTGGGTTGACACACACAGTTTTCAACTGGAATCTAGGACAGGCTGCACATTTTATCTGAAGCGACCAAATAGTGGAGTACAGTGTGGGCGGAAATGACAAAATGTGAAGAGCTGCAACTTGGATCAGCGGAAGTTGCCGGTGGTGCCTTGTTAGTTGGAAGGCAGGCCTCAAAACAAGAACGAGATTCAGCCAGCTGAAACTCCGCATATTTTATTCTCGGGTTCTAAAGCAGAAAGCAACACAGGACTGAAACAAGTAGCACTGAGGAATGGTCAAAAATTCCCCATCTCCAGAACACCCCCCCGCCCCAAACCACAATTCCCCCATCCTGCCCCAATGACTACAAATTATATCAAAGCCAGGAATTCAACTCCAACACTGGAGGGAGGAAAAAAATAAAATAAAATAAAAAAAACCCTTGCGTAAACGACCCAATAGAGTAGGAACCTTTTCTTGTTTTATTGTAACAGAATTACTTTTACCTCTGGCAGTTGACCAATTTTCACCCAAAAGCAAGTTGTGGAGATTGATAACAGAACTAAACACATTAAAAGTCAATCAAAATAAGTGAAGCTGTAAATCCAACCGTTAGTGGCCAGAGAATCCCATTCCCATTCCCAATCCCAATATCAGTTCTGACCAGCTTCGCTTGTAAAAAGGCACAGGCTACAAATGCTCTTCATGTTATGGTTGAGTGGGGATCACACACTGCGACTGGCAACTGGGATGAGAAATCCTCTCCCCACTGGGAACAATGGGCTAAGCTGAAGCTCAGGGGAGACACCGATTTGCCCTTGAAGATCTTAAAACAGACCTTTTCCCTTCAGCATCTTAAAAACATTTAAAAAAGAAAAAAAAAAAAAAAAAAAACAGTATGAAATAGGTTATGCACCCAAAAAGAAAGCGTGTCCACAGGAAGCTCACTACACCCCAAGACACAAAGCAGACAAACTCTTTATACAAAAAGGGTGGAGAGAAGAATGCCAAGTGCATGTGTGGAGGAGCAGTCCCCAGTTTGGTCATTCAATGGCATAGAGGAGCAGGAGGAGCGGCTTAAGACTCCCAGTGAACACTGGGAGGCCCCGGGGCCTGGAGGCCCACAGGAGAACGCCTTTACTTCACATCTTCTGCTTGGCATGCAAAATGGCTCCTGACTAATATGAATACAAATTATTAGCCATTTAATTTCGAGGGAAAACTAAAATGCAAGCTAGCAACCATTCGGTGAGCTACTACGCATCACCATTAACATTGTCGACCTAGAAGGCTAGGGATATGCAAACCGGCCAGTAATACCAGTTACCAGTTGGGGGGGGGGGGCTTGATTGGCTGCAACGCCCACTTACTCCATCGGGAATTTTCAGCTCCCCAGAACCCACCCACCAAAAAGACCAAATGCAAACAATGCTAGGGGAATGTTTGATAGAATTTTATTTTTCTTCATTGCAGTGGAAAAATAGAACCTCATACAAATGCCTCCATTTTTACTCTAGACAAGTTGGATAAGCTGTACCTTTCCAACTAAGTTCGGGGGGAAACCAGCGACAAAATGGAAACAATGCAAGCACAAAAAGCCCCAAACTACCAATCACTTCCTTTCATAAGCCTATTATCGGACCGCTTACTGTATATCCAATTCTTTAGGCTTTAAATCCGTTCAAACGAGGACCCAATTTGTATTTTTTTATTTTTATTTATTTATTTATTTTTTTACTGTCAGGTTATAAATTCTTTGGCACACTCCCACCTTTGGAACTAGATTTAAAATAATCCAGACAGCTAAGTGTTACCTGTCGAAATTTCGGGCTTTTTGCTTCAGCTGCAAAGTGTGTTCCTCACCTTGAATTACCCATTTTCCGTGAATTTGAATTGCTTTTAAAATTTCACAGTTTGGAATAGAGGCAAGAAAGAAACAGATGGCCAACAGAATAAGGAGAACCCCCCCATGACACCTTAAGTCTGAATGTTAGTCATTTTCTTAAAGAGAAAGAAAAAAAAAAAAAAAAAAAAAACTTACCAAATTTCTCATATGCTGCCATTACTCAAAATCCCCCTCCAAAGTAGTTTCAGTACTGCGTTCAGTATTTGCATTGTATTTATAGTATTGGGCAGTGAAGTGAATCCCTCACTCTCTCACACTTGATTCTTATGAGCCAGGCCTAAAATCAGCAGGACTCCTTGTGTGGACAGGTTAATGGCTTCCAAAAGGCTGTGGGACACAGGCCACCAAATCCAATTGCTGATTCTCTTTCCCCTCATGTAAGCTTTCTTCAATTCCAGCAGCAAAAGTCCATTTTAGTTATCCAATTGATATCCGTTCTGAGCAAAATCGCATACCTCCAACTTGAAGTCCGTATCCATAGTGCTGGGACGTCAAACCTCAGCACAGCGTCAAGTCCTTTCTCTCAGGGTGGGGAATGGGCGGGTGGTCTTCCACATTTGGCAGTTTCTTCTTTGATGATCCTTGAATTTTTCTGTTGACTAATGTCAGTTTGGGACCGGCCGGCTACGGCTGTCCCATACGATGTTCACGTCGTCGTTTTCAGATCAGTCCAACGGTGGCCGGATGGACGCTGCGGGCGACTGCTGGAATTGTACTCGGGTGGTGTGATATCAAGCCTCACTCACTCACTCTCACATTGCAGACACTCATCTCAGCACACTCTTAACTTCTGCTTTAACCCAATAGCGCAAAAGACAGAAGAAACTCCAGTGGGGTTTGCTCAGTATGATCTCTTGTTCGGTCTGAGAAAAAAATTAAAAAGTGTATTACTTGACAATCTCTCTGATATAAACTGGGCAAAGCCACTGATTACTCCTTTGACCAAATACTGCCATAAAACACAAGGTGCAGCAAGTGTCTGAACACCACTTCCTTTCTGACTTTCATCATATTCGATTCAGATCATCAAACCAAGACCTTGTGCAGGACTGCGGTGGAGACACTCACCAAGCCTGGTTTTTAAGCTTGCGCAGCTCCTTGGTGGCCCAAGTGGCCAGAGTCTTGGTTTTGCTAGTCTTAGATCTTCGGCCCTCGGTCAGCAACTCATTGATAAGGGGCCTCACCTCCACCAGCTTCATGACGTCCTTGCCGAAGGCAGTGCACAGGTCACTGTGGGAAGGGGGATGCTACAGTCAGCCAAGTGACCTATCAGATCAGCAGCTCCTTCAGGTTATTCACTAACACCATTTTGTGTGTGGGTGTGTGTATTTATATATATATGCTGGTATATGCACACACACTAGGGTTGCAAAAGGGGTGGAAACTTTCCATTCATTGGGAAGTTAGGTTGGGATATTTTCAAAATTCCCCAAGTTGGAAACTTTCCATGCGAATTAACAGGAATATATGGAAATGAACGGGAAATTCAGAGAACTTTGCAAGAACAACACAAACAATATGGAAAGTTAGAAGATTAGATTGTCTCATAACTGAATGATGGAAAGAATGCAAAGTATCTAGAGCCAATAAATTTAAGGGCTCAGATGGGGAGATGTGAATCAATGTATTTCTCTTACTCTAAATTAATCAATGCAGAAGCTTTTTGAAAATATGTCTGGTGGAAATTAGGCACCAAACTGCCTTCATACCTTATATAGTATGATAATAGTACATACATGCACATAATCCTATACAGAAAAAAAGACCAAAGTAAGGGCCCTTTTGAAAGAAACTCAGAAGTAGAATTAATTCAGATATTCATTGAATAGTCTTGAATAACTAGTTTTAAATTTAGTCATGTAAAGCTTGGTGACTCAACAGTGAATTTCACACGACAAGTATAGAGGACTGAAAACTGACTGGTTCAGGAAGTGTCCAAGAACTCCTACCAAGTTCTTCCAAAAATACCCTAGACTTTGTCCATTTATACTTCAGCATACACACATTTTAGAGCTCGTCGGCACAGACGCTCACTGCTCAGTTTCACAGGGAGGCAAAACATTCAAAACTGGAAGTGAGAATAACAAGCCTTAAGAAAACCTACTAAAAGTAACACAACCGATGCCCACAAAAACAATTCAAATTTCACACAACATCCCTCAATAAGACGACAAAAGGAAGCTTCACAGCTGATTTTACAATCTATTTAATGGGATGTCGCTGGAGGTTAAAAATGTGCGATGACAAATCAGGCAGAATCGATGACTTCCCTATGACAGGACTATCAGTTCCCAGCATATCTGAATCGTACAGAACGTCTTAAAATGGGCAACCCTGGTGTGTCACCAAGCAGATGCCTGCACTGCCCTGGCCAATTAGTGTGTACTGTGATAGCACCAGGGCTCAGAAAACACAATGTCCATGCAGTGCATGACTCGAGGATCTCCCAAGTGATCATTTAGGATGACTAAAGCAATAGCAAAAGTCACTTGAATCTCTGAGCTTCTATGCATCTGGCTTTTCTAATTACTAGGCGCTTTAATCCCAAAGTAAACAAAACAATGAGACTGCAAACATAAAAGCAGTATATACAGCTCCGGTGTGTGGCTGGGTTAGGGAAAAATAAGCAGAAGTGAGTAAAAAAGAGCCATCAGTTATGTGGGTCTGTGAGAGGATCTTATGGCCGAAAGCAAGACAAAGAACCAGCTAAAGCGACTCATCACAAGAAGCAGCTGCGTCAGCACAGCACAGATATTCTAATTAACACAGAGGGGGCCACAACAGCAGCTTTCAAAATACTAGATAAGCCAGCCAAAATTAGTAGAAATTCAGGTATCAGACTGTGTTGGAGGCAGTGGTACGGTCAAGCGCAGTGCAACTGCAATAAATCAGATATGGAGAAGGGAGGACTGAGGCTCAAATCATTGAAATTTCATAAGACATGCGATGGCTGCATGCTTGTAGTCATTAACTATGGCTGCAAGAATGACAAATTAGCTGAAGCAGAAATGGTTTCAAGAAATACAAAAACCATTCTTCGACTTCAAATGGTAATCTTAAAACATGAAGGTTGCAACTTTAACTGTATGCTGGAAAACATGGATTATAGACTAAAAGAGACCAAATTGCACATCTAAAAATGCACAAGGCAAGAGCAGAGTGGTCACCACATTTAATGGCTTCACAGGGGAAGAATGACCTTCATTTTTGCAGGCTTTCCCAATTAAAGATGGCAGTTATAAGCAGGATGGGACAGCAAGCAACTACAGCCGCAGCCGTCGTCTCTCACAAGGCCGCGAGAATTTCAGACAAACAGAACTAGAGTGTTGTACTGCAGATGGACGTCCTGAGATATCGCTCACCCTATGAGGCCGGCAGCATTGGCTACCACACCATCAGAATGATCCTCGTCTTCAGCGATGTGGTGAATAAAGGACAGGATGAACTCCACTCGGGGCTGAACTAGCATCACATCCGCTGGAGAGAAAAGCGCGTCAAAGGCCGAGCGATTCAAACACATTCAGACCAACACATTCCTTTCACAAAGATCAGCTGGTTAAACTTCCTTGCCACAAATAAGATACAGCTAACGAAGGCTAGAAAAGTGAATCGATTAAAAGTCAGTTCTTTGATTAATTTCAATTAATCACACCAAACTATACAATCAAATATTTGCACATTAAATACGTACATTAATGTACAAATAAAAGGAGAGTAATATGGGTCACTCTCACTAATGCATACATTTTTTTCAGATTTGTAAAATAATTTTGAAGACTGACTCAAGTTACACAACTTCATTGTTTAAACTATCAATTTTGCCTCAGGTAGCTAAATGAGTTGTTATATCACCATTTATGTAATAAACCAAGTATTTAATCAAACCCAGGGCAAGAGTTAGAAAAAAAAAAAGACAAAACTAACCAAAAATTAACCCAAAACCTACACAAACTATTTACTGTGGGGCTACAAGCAAGATCGTTGTGAGTTACAGCTGAAATGCTTAAAAACATTATCTGGGTTTTTGTCCTTTGATGGTCAAATGGTCAAAATCAGATCAAGAAACTACAATATTCATATATTCAGAAAGTAATGGCAATGCCGATTTCTTAACACAAAAAAATATATATCTGAATTTCTCAATTTATGAGAATGACCCATATTAATATTTGTAATGGTTTAAGCCAATATAGATTTATTTAATAGAAATGATACAGCCAAGCAGGTATAAGGAGGACTTCAGTGCTTTCAGAAAGGCACAAACCACATGTACATAAGCAGATACCCAACAGGCGGACCGACACATTCCTACCATGTGATCCATCTAAAGTCTAAAACCTATTTGACAAATAGCTTGGAGAAACAGAAGCGCGTCTACTGAAATTGGACTTGATCTTAAAATTTTAAGGTGAAAGCCATTAATAAACACTGCAAATACAACAATATTTTTTAATCCTATGTATGCCTCAATTGGGAAGTTTTATTAAAACTAAATAAACCAGGTAACAGATTCCCTTGAGACGCTAACATTTAATTTTCTTTTAAATTCTAGAACTCTGTGCAACGTCACACCATAAACTCTCCTAAACTACAGGATGGAATATTAAACGTCTCTATTAAAAATCTTTGCTCACACTATTCTCTCATTCGGGTATTAAACTGCTGCACGCATTAATTCGATCAAAGAAACACGGCTTTAAAATTAATGCTACACCTTAATGCTATAAAAATCCCTATCCCTACTAAACAGCCTATACAAAGTTAAGACTCCAGCACAAAAATCAGATGAAAAACCACTGATGGGCAGGACACTTACGATGTACGTTTTCCTGATCGCCTTTCAAGCCTTGAATAATCCCTGTGTAGGCTTCCAGACAGCCTTCTCGAAGCTCGTTCAGGTAGTCCACCATGTCGTAATCCGTCTGCCAGAGAAAGATCAGAATGTTGGCCACAAAATCCCCATTATCACCCGCAAGTGAGTAAAGCTCCAACCTTAATTGCCTATTCTAGGTGCCTAATGGAGAAGCACATGTCCATCTAACCAGGCAGCGACACCGGTCTTACTATCCCCCATCGCAGTCTGTTAGAAGCAGCCAGAACAGGAGCATATTTACAAAATGCCGGAGAGACAGACTTGCCAATCCTAAGCCATTCACAACCCCAACTCCACCAACTGAATGAATCATGGGAATTATTTGAAGGAAATGAAGGGCAAACCGGCATATGCTCAGATACAGAGAGCAGCAACACATTAAAGGGGATCACTTCAAACCACAGCAATGAATGAGGAAATGCATCACAGAACAGGGGAACCATTCAACTCTAAGCGTCCAGAGGCCTGCATCCAACACAAATGACTACCAGGGATTTTTAAAGGCAACCTCAAAAACAACTGTTTGTAATACTACTGTAACTGTTCATCTGGATTTGATTTTCAATGGTATTACAATGATTAGGATTTTCCATGAACAGGAGTTTAAAGCAGAATCTGCAGTATGACAGAGAGCCAATCCAGCCCAAGCAGCTTCCATCAATTTCACCAGGCCACCATGATGCACTGGCTTCCTCTGACGCAGCCCGAGAAAAATTCCCCCACCACTAAGGAAAGCCAAACAGCCAGTCGACGTAACGGGCTGAAAGGGACAATGAAGGGCAGCACAATCTGCTTCCAGTGCTCGACATTCCTGTGCTCTTACCAAACCACAGGCCGCAATTCAAGCTTACTGAGGCATTTCACTTCGTGCTGAATCTCAGGAATGTACGCAGTCGAGCCCATTAAGAGCACATCAGTTTGTGTACGTAGGAGAGAATCAATTTAGTGTCCATGGTGCACAGGTTTACTACCAAGAGCTAAGAGTGCAGCAGGCTGCTATAACTTTGTGCTTTATAACCAACTGTAAACTGCAACGATTTTAAAACTGCAGCTTTCATTGAACCATTAACTCTTACCGGTCAGCAGACCTGCAAATGAATCTATATTATGCTGTAACTCACAAGGCTCTGCAAGCAGCAAAACAAAAAGCAGCCATTTTTATACACTGGATGTAAGCAATAATAGGCTTTTAAGCGCAATAATAATGGGGGAGGGAACTAATTCAATAAGCAGCCAGTTATTTGCTATATCTGGCATGAGACCAAAGGGCTGAGTCGCTCAAGCTCAGCAGAAGTGAGGCCCCCACCTCAAATAAGGAAACCAGTGGTTCAGAGGAGCAAAACCGGAAAGCAGCATTAAGCCAGAGAGGTGCTGCAGTAACGAAGTCAGGGAATGAGAATCCACGCCAAAGGAGGGGAAGAGCGGGGTGGCGTAAGCGCGGGACGGCAGCGACAGACCTTATCCACTTGGGCCTGCGACGCTTGCTGGAGCGTGTCCAGTACAATATCCAGATATTTCTTGAACTCGCCTCCGATGGCCAAGGCGATATCCCCAAAAGCAGAGAGAATCTGCGGCTTCACGGATCTGTGGACGTTCTCATTCTGTCGAGAGAGAGGAGGCCACTTTACAGCAGCACGGTGCCAGCAGGGTCACCACTAAGCGCACACAGATGCACCGAGTATGTAATTGGTAACGGGCTTCTTAAAAACAATCCTGTCTTAAGGCATGTAGACATGGATCACTCTGCAAGTGCAGGTACACTGGCGAGAAGCAGCTTGGTGTCAGAAACTAGACACCACAAATACAAGAACATAATCTAACCCTTAAACCTGGTTAAAAAAGAAGAAAAAAAAGTCTTGTAAATATCCTCTAGAGGGAGCCAAACAACTTATTTTGAAGGCAGGGTAACAGTTTAACCAGCAGTTTCTGGAATTAAGCATAAATGACCTAACTGAAATACACAGCCGTTTAAGTGACGGAGACAGATTTCTGAATCCAAGGCAGGAGGGGACGATACCGGCTGCATTCATCAATGAGAGGATGAGCTGGTACTGAGAGACGTACCCCCAGGTTCTCCAGAAGAAGCTGCATGATCTCGTCACAGTAAGGCAGGATGTTGGTCATAAGTGCTCGGCAAAGGTCACAGACCAGGCCAACAGCGGCGAGACACACCTAAGCGGGGGGCACAAACCTGACAGCTATGGCAACATGTATGTTACATTTACGCACTGGGACCGGAAGCTAGAAAATACGATTCCACAGTATGCATCAGCCACAACATGCGTGTAGTATGACAGCCTGACAGGAAAGAGAACTATTCTGTATTTTATCTGCTGCAGGGTTAAGTGACGTCTTCCTGAAAGTGTGATATACTGGTCCAAAATGTGCCCTAAGTGAATCCTCCCAAACCATGGATTTACACATATATGCATATAGCTGTGCTTAGTGTGCTTCCGACAGAGAAACCTTAAACATGCTGAAAACGTGACAGATGGTTCTGTTAGATAAAACCAAAGCCTACCTGATATTCTGCATAATTTTTCAGCCCAATGCCCAGGAAAGGTTTGAAAGCATCCATGTATTTCAAGAAATCACTGCCCAAAACTGAAAAAGGGGAGATGCTTGATTTTATTTATACTGTGACGAGAGCAGATTAAAATACTGGGGAGGGGGGGTTAACATTTTCAAAACAGTCGCATAAAGGTCACACAAGAGGAAAATATACTTATATTCACATACACCAAGACAGCAAAGTGCAGGCCTGAATGAATCTAAGGTCTGTCTCACCTACGCTGGCCTGGTAAAAACATGATTTCCCCCCCACACTAATAGATGAGAGGAAAAAAATAAATAAAATGTAGACCACAAACGTACCAATACAACAGACCTACCTACCCTAAGTCAGACATCAAAAACGACAGTCTGCAGAGATGGGATAACTACTAAATCCAGAATCGAACAGTGCCACTGGCCACAATAAACCACGTAGCATAGCAGACCTAAAGCCCCTGGTGACTTGCTTCTGTACAGTATGGACACAGACTGAATGGCATAGCCATGTAAAAAAAAGTATCATGGAGGGACAAGACTACATAAAGCACAGAAAGCGTCGCCTTACCTTCCACCAGAGTGCTGACCGCCATGAGGGCGTCTTCCTGCACACCCCCAGAGCCAGCCGTGCTCTGGAACATGCGCAGCAACGAGGCCATCACCACGTCGGAGATCTGCAGTGCATCCTGGTGCTGCACCTTCCGTAATACATTCTGCGGGGCGGGGTGGGGGGGGTTGGGTGGCAAACTATCAGCATCTGATATTCAGCAAAAAAAAAATAAAAAAAAAAACTACTCCCCAGAGGTCAACTGGTCCTACAACTTATTGCCTCGTTTCAGTAGCATAATCCAGTGTTTCCCAACCCAGTCATTGGAGAACTCCGGACAGCTCCCAGCCAATCAGGAACACCGAATACCTGGTACATGCGCGCTGGGAGGGAGCAAAAACGTGGACTGTCCAGGGTTCCCCAAGGACTGGGTAGGGAAACACTGACATAAATCAGCACCATTTTTTTTCCCAAAAAATTTCTCAAGTTTCAGTACAAGGTTCTTCAAGTCTACAAATCCACACAGACGGAGTACTCTGGAGGAACCGAGCAACACTACAGGCTGCGTAACGGAACTGAGGCATACTGTACAGAGAAGTTACGCAACTTTAAAAGCTCGCATTAAAACTGAAAACAAAAACTAGGAGTGAGGCCCATTCCATGACTCACCTGCAGGGTGGCACACAGTAAGGACTGCAGGTCATTGAACTGGATTCGGTCAGAAGTGCTCTGGATGTGGGACTGTGGGTAAGTCAAGAAAGCCCAGTGAATTTCCATGACCAGCTACACGCAAAGACAACGCAGACAGCTGCTCCACTGTCTGTGACGGGGATGAAGCTTTACATCCTTCTGTCAAACATATTATTATTATGCATTGAAGACCGACTTTTTCAGCTGCTTAATTTAAGCCTCAACCGGAAGCAATTTGCAACCGTTTGGATGGATTTTTCATGTTAGGCCAAAACTGATTCCCTGGGGGAGGACAGATTTTCATTTTCCAGCAGAATTACAAAAATAACTTCTAACAAATTAGCTACCCACCAAAGAAATAAAGATACAGTATAAGTAAGGTACAAACATGGATGTAGAGCAGAGAGCGCAGTACAGTGTTGTGTTAGCACTGATTTGTGCTTGCGTGGCCAAGTCGGGTTGGGCTACAGACCTAGAGACCAGAGGCACTCAACAATCAAAGGGGCATGAAGTACTCTGCTGTGCACTTCGAGGAGATGAGGCAGCAGCTGAAGGTGCTCCTCAACCGTACCAGCTCTGAGAGGACGGGCCTCATTATTCAAAAGTACAGTTTGGGCAGCATTCTTCGAGTCCACTCTCGGCCAGCTTTCAGACTCCCGCGCAGTGATATTACCTCCCCCAGCAAACAGCAGTGAAGTGCAGCAACAGAGCGGCAAAGTGTAGCAGCTTGCAGTGCAGCAGCTTGCAGTGCAGCAGCTTGCAGTGTAGCAGCTTGCCACATACACCAAAGGACACAAGCCGCTTCAAGAACAGCCTACTCTGCACTCCTCCGTAGGCTCTGCTTTGTCATGCCAGGGCGGCCTGTCATTGACATACACGCCAAGGTACTTATAGCACAGTGCAATATCTATGCTCTCCTCTTGGATAGCGACTGCTCACTGGCTCTCTGCTCTGCCTTGAGTCCACTGCCTTCAAAATAACCATCTTTGTCGTTGACCTACAGGTGGTCCTTACTCACTCGGCTCTCTTCACCTCCCTTCTCTATTCCTTTTCCTTCACCAATACATCCCACTCACATGCAATTATTGAACATCTGAAGAGGAAATGAGTCAGACTTGTGCCTGAAGTCCGTGGTATTAAGAGTAAACGGGAACGTCGACAGTGCTGTCCCTCAGGGCACTGCTGTGCCGCTTCGCACTGCATCAGACATGCAGTTACTGGTGTGGATGAACTGTGGCTGTTCAGCAAGGTGATCTGTGATGGCGCAGAAACCTTCATGTTTCTGCCCATGCTGTTCAGTCTTACTCGGGCTGCTATTCTCCAGCTTTCGCAGAGTTCATTCCCTCTCAGTACACCTCTTAGTTTTCTGGATGGGAGAAACTAATTGAAGAATGTTTTGATAACCATTGTGATTTCGAGGTTGTTGGGGAAACAAACTGCTCTCCAGGGAATAGCTGCGTCCACAGAGAAGCCGATGTAGACAGTGAGCCCGCAGAGGTCCTCACCACACAGTTCATCACATCCAAGCAGTTCTGCAAAGCTACCGCTATTGAACAAGTGTTTTGTATTTGTGGACCAGGTGCACAAGGTTGTGATCTGACCAGCCAAGTGGAAGATAGACAACAGCTATATGCATCCATGTTTGCACAAAAGCCCAAAGTTCTATCTTCCCCTGTCTTTATGTACTGTAAGTGGCTCAGTATCGCAGAGAAGCATGACTGAAGCCACCAGAGATTCATGTATCCATGTTAGTCAAGGGTGTAACACAAACAATGCTGACTTATGAAAACCCACAAATTAAATTTTAAAAAAATTTTTTGTATAACTGCAAATAGAATAGTATTAGGGCTGCCGCGATTAGTCGACGAAGGAAGGAAACTAATTGTTTAGATAACAGATGAATCTGTAAAATAGCCGACTGATTTACTGACAGAAAAATAATCCTTGGTGGCAGCCCTAAATAGCACAGAAGCTCAAGAGAGGAGAAAACAGAGCTGCTGGACAAGACTGCAGGACCACACTGTCATCTTGCTGTAGTTAATCTTACTTCAGAGGAAAATCAGTAACGATCCAGTGAAACCAGATTTTCAATGGAACAACACTCACATTGAACACTTCACTATAAGAGTCAAGGACTAAATCCGTTTGTTCGCAAATGTATAAATAGTCCATCTTGCATGAATGATGCAGTTGTAGTTCAGCATATTTACCAGTTAGACCCAGACCAGCCGGAGAACACTTAGCGAAAACAGGGCACACTAATTCAGAGTTGCTTCTGTATAAGCTTCAATGAGAAATGCACATCTGACACCACCAAGAGCCGGCAGACACCAACCTCCATCTGAAGAACTTGCTGTAACCGTTCCATGATCACAAGGGTGGTCTTCTGCACAGCTGGGTAACAGTCCTTCGCACTGTTCTTCACTATCTCCATTAGAGCTTCATACGCCGCACTCCGCAGGTTGTTTTGGTGCCCGTCCGGCCTACAAGCAAGAGGGGGAAAAAAGCAAGCAGGGAACAAAATTGAAATTAAAAAATAAATAAATCAGAAGTACCACCTCTAGTTGCATTCCATTACGTTATTTACTCTAGTATTAAAATGTCATAATCTCAGCAGAATCTCGTCTGAGGCGCTAGAACACCTAGGGCTGGAACTGCTGCATGGTCATTTGATAAACTCTGCTACAGCAAACTTAGCAAAACAAAAAGAAAAATAAATAAATAAAAACACTGAGTAATGCCATGAAAGGAAAAGTCAATTTTTCCAAATACTTTTAGTGAAAGGAAAGAACCAAAGATCAGCACCAGAAATGAATGGGCGCCTCCCTCCCTCCAAAACAAGCTTATTGCAAATAAGTATCACCTTTTGTCCTGCTACTCCCTGGAGAAAATCTAGAAGGACCACAATTTGACTATACTAAGCCTACGCCTTTTCTACACCTATTAAATAGCTCCACCCGACAAACGCAGTATCTGATTACCCCATTCATGAGAACGTTCTTTCTTGGAGTGGGTCTGAGCAAAGACATTACCTGTCTGTGGTCTCCAGGAGCTTCTGGACTATGATCTCGAAGGAGGAGGACAGACAGTAAGTGCTAGGTTCATCCTGGTCATCAGTGGTCTCCGCAGCTTCATATGCAGCTTCCGCGAGGCTGGAGAAGGCCTGCAATATAGCAGACTCTTGAGGATATGGACACAAACTCGCACTCAAGTGGCAAAATAAAGCCGACAGGAAGAGTGGAACAAGTTGAGTTTAATGACCGCTATGGCTTTTGACTAGAGATGTCACCAGGGACACTAACAAGGCCCAGGGAGTATTTTGGGATAAGCCAAGAAAAATATGCCAAAATACCAGAACTGAAAAGACCTGCTTGTAGGGGTGGGGGGGATTGGAATTTTATATCATGATCAATCTTGAAGATGTCCATGATCTACTTTTTATGTGAATCGTAGATGGTGACCTTATATGCGGCAAAACTTCACATGAAACTCCGCTGGCCAGTATTACCGTGGGTCTGTGCTACGTCAAACCTACAGAATGACTCCCTATTAGATGCCGGTGCTGACTGGCCAAATTATATCGCCAGTCTGTGTCATACAGTCTCTGTCATGCGTGACGCATTTGAAAAAATCCAGTGAGAGCTACTGACATGGAGGGTAAGGAGCTGATGCCAAAAAAGGACTGAACATCAGCAGTGTGGCAGGGGTTTGGCTATGGTATCTAATGACTGCTTATTACAGCTTTTAGTTTTTAAAATAAATATTAACTCAAGTTTTAATGGCCATTTCGAAAACGGTGTCTTTAATGCAATATTGTGTTTTGAATGGCACCAGTAGCTAAGTCCTTAAGCTTGTTTGAGTGTGGGTATTCTTCACAGTACATATCAAAGCTGGGAAGAAAGATCGCAGTTCAGATTGTGGACTGTGGATTTTTTTGGGAAGATCGCCCACCAAGCATTTTCAAGTTTAAAAAAAAACTGACAACGTCAAGGCAGGTAAAAACCACAACGCAACGTTCACCGTTACACAAGCGGGGGAAAGTGCGCTTACCCAACAGACGTTGGACGCCACACGTGGCTCGGCGCTCAAACCCTCGATCAGACACTGCAGCAGGGGCGCCAGGTAGACCTCATTGATGGCCGCTTCAGGAAGCAGCTCGCAAATGCGACCCACAGTCCAGGCTGTAGTATCTCTCACCACAACACTAGGATCCTTCATCAATTCAATCAGCGTGGGCATAGCCTGTGCACATTAATAAAAATATTACAGGTGACCTTGAGCACAACTCAACAAAAATAAGCATTCCCCTACCAGACACTAACACTGGTTAACCAGTATAACAAATGATCTGACATTTAATGAATCTTTGTGGTTCAGAAGAGGCAGCCATTTGTTTATAAATCTGAGTAGCATTTCAGGCTAAGGAAACTAAGTAGAATTGACATATTGGTTATAATATCGGTATCAGCCGATATTCATTAAAAGTCTTGAACAACATTTAAACTTAGTCAATATTCAACGTTAGCAGCACTAGAGCTTAGGATAACTACTAAAATAATGGGGATGATTACAATGAAATTTAGGTCACCGAATAATCGATTAATGGAATCAAACTGTGATGGAGATCAAAAGATTGACGACTCATCGAAACGTAACCGCATAGGATCTCCTTGGGGACAATGATTTACACCCCTAGCAAATACACATCAACCCTCAAGTTAAAATTTAAAGGGGACTTTGACAGGCTAAATAGACCACACACAGAATTACTTCCAAGGAGATGGGAAAAGCCATTTTATGGCTACAGAACACTTGCAGATATTTATAAAATTCATAAAGATATATGGCCAAGCAGGCAAACACCTCCAACCAACTCAATGCACCTTGAATCCAACCACAACACTTCAATGAGTCCAGTAACAGCTGTCAAAATTATGGATTGCCAACAGAATCAGATATAGCACTTTTTTTCTTTTTTTAACTTTACATCAATGGTGTTGTGGGTTTCTATAAAAAGCCATGTGCTTGGCAGGCCTCATTGCAAAATAAGAAAAAAAAAACTGCATATTACCTGAATGACTAATGGTTTGAGCTGGGTCAGCTCAGGACCCTCTAAGATGGAACCGAAAGCCATCACAGAAGCGTCACGGTAACGCCAGTCGGGGTGCTTGATGTGCTCTTTGATGAAGGGCAACACATGAGGGACGACATCATCCTCGCAGCAGGTGGCCAGCAACATCAGGCACACCCCCGCCGCCTTACACGGGTTCCAGTCGTCATCGTCGTCATTTTCATCCTGTTTGTAGACGGGAGGCTTATTAGTATGGAAACCTTCCCTTGAACAGGCTGCATATTGAGAGAACATCCAAAACACGATTAGCATGTAAATCGCCACGCCAGCGATCCAGGATCTCAACACGATTCACTCAACTTCCCATTCAAGTTTCCACTTTTCGTTTTTAATTTTGCATACGACATTTAACACAGCAGCAGCGGTTATTCCACATCAAAATGCACTAAACAAACAAGAAAGATTAACAGTCCAAGCCATACAGAAGCAGATGGTTGCCGTGGACGATTACAATGCATCTACTTATCAGTTACTACATTTACATTTCTCTCAAAGGCAACACATGACAGACATCTCTCTGTACATCAACAAGGCCACACATATTTGTCACCTTACACCATGCAATATGATCAGCGCCTTAATCTGATTTACCCTTACCTGTTTGGTAAGTGTCTGGGTGAGAATTGGAACCAGATATTGCAGGGCACCTTTGGCATAGAACTTGCTAGTATGCTCTGGGGGGCGTCCCTGTTCCGATGCCTAGGTAGAGAGAGCAGAACCTTAATTACAACCGTGCAAACAATGTGCAGGATTCCAGTGAAACTTAAGAGGTATGTGATCAACACTGAAGTAAATCTACCTTTGAAGGATCTGCCCGACAGGAGCGTACAGTATAAGCTACTGATTACAGAGCAGCTACCTCTCCGAAAGCAAATGTCTATAAACGTGGATGATTTTTAACCTGGTCTGGAATGTTTTGAAATGTTATTTGGGGGGGGGGGGGGAGGGGGTTAAGATAAACAGCCGGTTCAGTGTTTCAATGCACTGCCCAGCTGGTTAAGGTACGTACTACATGTTGCCTCCCAAATTAAGCATTGATCTTTAATTAAATATTTGGGCCATTATGATACATTCTCGGAACACACAGGATTCCTAAAGACAATGCAGCAGTTTATTCATGAGTACTCGAAAACGGGCTGCAGTGTCCTAAACATCTAAGTCCAGACCGGTCACTGCAGTTCAAGAAGAATACAAATTTTGGCTGGATGATTCAAATCACGAGCCGCTGGCCACTCCCAGCGGGACTACAGCAGCTTGTCCATCTTTGCTGCAGTAAGGCGCCAACAAAGCTTTACTCGGCACTAGATATGGTCAGATGCGATGGTGAAGAGCAATGGGCTAAGATACCTCAGACGCTTCAATAGCCAAATCCATTTCCTCATCACAGACGTTGGACCAGAACTCAATTCCTTGTAAGGCAACCTCATCAATGTCGCTTTTCATGGCTTCTATTGTGATCTGAAAAGGAGAACAATGCGAATGAGATTCACAGACATTTTCAATTAAAATCAGCATAAAACACAGCTGACTTTAGCAGGCTTTTAACACTTCAGAACAGAAGGAATATTCCTCTACAAAGGTTTTGATAGGCTGTCAAAATACAAAGGACTAAATACAACTGTCATAACAATAGCATGCAGAATTCACAATACTTTCAATGCCATTTAAAGCCAGTTAAAATTAATGAAACTAAGCTATTGAACAGGGCTTTCTTCAGGCTGACCGTCTATTTTGGTTTGCCGGTATGGAAAGAGGCCAATTTAGAAAGGAGAACTTTGTGATAGGAGAGCACAGCTAAGAAGATTAGACCTGAGAGTGAAATCTACAAGGCATAAAGTGTTACCCCCCAGATCAGGGACATCAGGGCTCAATGCGTTTCCCTGAAATGTCCCTTTGTCATGCACAGTAACACCATTGGTCAGATCCCTATAATCCAGGTCAATCGAAAGGCAGGAAAAAAGCCAGAAACTTGTCAAATCCATGTCCCTCAGGAACACTGTATACAGCATATAATCAACGTCTAGAGGCCCTGAAATAGACACACACTGATGCTTTGGACCAACTACAGTAATCAACCATCAACCGAAGGTTAAAAATGACGCAATATGTACCACCGTAAGCTCCTTTGAAATGGGGGCCCAAAACATTTCAGCATCATACATAATGAACGCCCACATACTAAATGGTTAGGACAAATAATTGCTGTGTGGAATTACTTTCTTTGTGACAGGACATTAGAAATGCATTTTGCAAACACTGCTCTGAGAAAGTTTCACAAAGAGGGTCTGCTAATGAAAATGAACTCTGATCGTTCACATCAAGGTCAGACAGTAAAATATGAAGTTTCTGAAAAGCAAATCCACTGCAGTGAGGGCCGCACTTCTGACGGCGCTTAAATCCACTGCAGTGAGGGCCGCACTTCTGACGGCGCTTAAATCCACTGCAGTGAGGGCCGCACTTCTGACGGCACTTAAATCCACTGCAGTGAGGGCCGCACTTCTGACGGCACTTACATCCACTGCA